TTTTTTTTTTTTTTTTTTGTTTGTAAATAATAATGATTTTTTTTTTATTTTATTTTAAACTTACAACAAAGTTTCACGGAAAATTTCCATTTGTATATTAGAAGTTTGATTGAGATTTTCAAGATTCATGCATGATTTCTAAAGCGATTTCTTAAACCAAACTGTGATTGGATGATGTACAATGATGAATGATTGATTTTAATTTGCGTTCACACGCTTATCAAAAAAAACTTACCAATATATTACACGAAATTCCATCAAATTTTTCGATAAATTGCCCTTTAACTTACCAAATTAAGTTACCATAATTTTTATTATTAACCTTAAATTCTTTTTGAATGAAGCTGTTAACATTTTAAACAAGGAAAATAAGGGAAATAACTTGCATATCAGTTTGTAATCGATAAACGCGTCGAACTAAGAAAAAAAAAATAAAAAATTTTTATGCATATTCCTGTATGTATTAAACATAAATATAAAGTACAATAGGAAATTTTCAAAAAATCATTTTTATTATTTATAATTTTCAATGAATAAGGAAAATTCCAAAGAAGGACTATTATAATATTTTGTACGAGTCTCCTGATTAAAGTATTAGTAATTAATAAAAAAGGAAATAAGAAAAAAAAAAAAAATTTATATATATTACATTTTATTTATTTACTTTTGATTAAATAATCATTAAGGGGGGGATAAAAAAAAATATAGTAATAAAATAATGAATTTCAACTTATGGAAATAATGGAAAATAATGAGCCAAAAAAGAAGAAAAAAAATAAAAAAAATTATATATATATACTGTATATATATATGTATGAGTACAAAATTTTAAACCAACGAAAAACTTCTAACCTAAATAAGATGTAAAAAAAAAAAAAAACGGTAAAAGTTTGTTGAAATTCACCTTATATAGGTTCAGTTTATAACTTTAAAAAAAAAAAAGGGTTTTTTTATCGCGTTGTGCTAATACTAAAAAAAGAATTGGAATTACTAATACATAAATTGAGTGACAATACCGGTTACTTTCTTTGAGAAAAAAAAATTTTTTTAAAATATTATTAATGGTTGGTTTATATATCGGGTACTTAGGGAAAATAATTCTCCCATTAATTAAACCGGTCTATTGTTTACTATGACGGAAATCTTTTAAAACGCTAATTTATTTTACCGATAAATTTTTTATCGATTGGTCATCAGCTGATTATTGTACCAAAATTGACTATAATGCACTTTTAAGCGAGATTTGCATAAATATGGATAAATTAAATCATGATTAAAAGTAATACATCTTACATCATATATATGCCATGTCCGTATAAACAATTACGTAATAGTCGCTGTATTTAATTTTACGGGGTCGTTTAACTCGCAGGTTCATTATTCTCCGAAAAGGTTTGTTAATTCGTGTAACGGCCAAGAATTCGATAACTTTTTGAGTTACATTTAACTAAAATCTTATTGTATATAACCTAGTAAGAAGGATGTTCCGTAGGGCATGATACAGTAACTAAGGAAAGGTTGTAAAATAATTATTGGTACGTGACGTTCATCGGACAAGGCCCCGCCCAATAACGGATGAACCCGGTCGACCTCTATCCCGGCATACACTTTATCCGTAACCTTATGAAAAATTATAATATTACAAATTAATGTAGAAAATAAAATGCACCTTTCAAAGAAAAAAAGAATCTTTTTAGTACTAGTATTATAGAATTTGTAATGAAAATATTGATGTAATATTATTGGGATTTGGGAAGGTAGGAAATCCCTAGTGATGATAGCACATGGATGCTCCGAAGGAAACCCGAAAGACCATCATGCATCCGTATATAGTATGTTATTGTTAGGAATCTCCGATGTTACTCCTCGTGAAATAAATGGTTAGTTCCAACGTATCACCAGATTGTTCATCAGCAGGTGATTTTTTTTTTTTTTTTTATCTTTTTTATCTTTTATTCTATTAATTTAAAAAAAATAATAAAGTTAGAGAAATCAGATAAAGATGAAATGAAATATCAAAATTGGAAATTTTCTAAAAGTTTTTTTTTTTTATAATTTAATCACAATTGTGTCGCAAAAGTAATTTATTATTTATATTATATATTCATTAAATGTTACAATAATAATATGAATTATGGCTTAGATTAATACCTATTAATGACAAGTAAAATTATTGTACAGAAACCCATGAGATATTTTAAACAACGCTTATTGAAACGGAGATTTCCGGTTATCAAACCGGAAGGACCGGGAAATAAATAAACAAAAGATTCCTAGATTCCTGATCACAAACTCAAGATACGAATAGAAATTTTAGATATTAATAATTAATAGATAATATAAAGACAAGTATTTCCGTCAAATTTTATTCACGTTGGTTGATTAAACATTGTCTATCGTATAGATATTTCAGTTGATTAAACATGTACATCATAAACTTACGATTTAGAGATGAGGCTTATAATTTTCTGGCATTTTAATTTAGAGAATTTTAAATTTTATATATATATATTTTTTTTTTTAAAAAAAAAAATACATTTATCGAGAGTGCATACTACAAAAAAAAATAGTGGTCTAAAGCTGCAAGTACGGTCACAATTTAATATTTCAAAGAATCGGTTGAATAATAGACAATATTAGTTATTGGAAAAAAAAAAATCTTGAAATTTAACTGCATCCAATTATTAAAATGACAATAAGCCGTATCAGTCTTGCAGTAACGGACAATTTCCCAATAACCGTTTTCTTCTCGACATTATTAATGATAAAAATGTGATTGTTGAGAAGGTATCGGGAATATTTAGTTTAATATAGTAAGTACATAATATTTAATATATTGATATAATTGATTTGTAATACGATATGATATCTCAACAACATATATTCCATCAGATATTTTACCAAAAATTAAAAAAGAAAGTGAAACAAAATTGTCCAGAACGAAAATCAAAGAAAGAAAAATGGACCAATCACTCATTTTCGGGGAAATGTCCTGTAAGTTCATTCAACAAAATATGCCATGTATAAATGTGTATATTTATATATGTCGGATAAGATCTATGTACTCTCCTCGATTTACATGACGAGGCATACGAGATTTTATTCGATTGATTTAATTGAACCTAATTTATTGATACCTTAGTACATTCACTTGTTCAAAGTTGCTTTTATTAAATATCTTAAAAATACTTGACGCATAAGAAGGGTAAACGAAGATTCGTTCTAGGACCAAGGACTTAGTTGATTGTAATTGAAGATTCTTAAGCTTTATTATCGAGTTAAACAATGTATAATGATATATTTTATTACTTACAAGATACATAATTCCACTAAATGGCTTTAAATCCGAACGAATTGATCGTGAATTATCGCAATTATCATAGGTATAAAAAACATTTAACATTTCATATCATCCTAAATAATTTGTATGAAAATAATAATAATAATAATAATAATAATAATAATATTTCTTCTTTTTTTTTTAATAATTATTGAACTTTCATTTTTTTTTTATATATGTAATTCCAGCCCTGAAAAAATGTGTACAGTTAATAGAAAAATGTACTGTATTTGGCTGCCTCTGACCTTTTTATATATATTTAAGTATCCTAAAATAAATTATTAAAATATTCCATCTTTACTTAATTTCTTTTATTTATACGGATACGATACAATTATAAAAATCTAATTATCATGAATTGATAATACGAACGTCTCATAAAATAACATTATTATTGAATTAGATACATTTTATTATAGATAACTATCAAACGTCCTGTCAGAGTAATACAACTACTTGTGTAAATTCGCGAATTATACTTGATCATTGATTGGTTCAAATCAATCGAGAAAGTGTAGATGAATTAGTAGAAGGTTTAGTACAAAGTACGTAATTCCACTAAATATATAAACATCTTCAAAATGTACCGGAAGAAAAGTTGATTGGTCAATTTTGTGGATTATGTTGACATCCTCTTTGACATCCTCAATGTTTTTTCTCCTAAATACTAAAAAATTTGTTAAAGAAAAAAAAAGATTAAAATGCGAGTGAGATCTTGGGCTAGAATTGAACTAGCCAAGGCACAGGTGTGCTCCACCAGGATAAGATTAAAAAAAAAACTCATCTGTTTTCTTAATTTTTTAAACAGATCAAAAGAAAAAAAACACCTTTATGAGAAAGAAAAGTGTGCTAAAATTTTTATTTAATGGTAAAGAAGGTACATAGTTAGTTCCTCCTCCAGAACTAACAGACTTTACCAATAACAAAGTTAGGATGTTTCTCCCAGACTTCAATTGAGTAATCCGCTCCTCAAAATGCTTAGTCACTTTGCAAAATCAAAAAACACTCAATAACTCAGAGCAATTCTCTTATGTCAAAAGGAATTCCCTGACTCAATTGAGTTATCCGTTCCATAACTTGCTTAGGAGATTGCAAAATAAAAAAATGTCTAATTGGCAAATTCAGAGGGTTGCTAAGGTCATCTACAACATATGGGGATGTGGCCTAGAGAGTTCAAACCTAAAGTGGGCTATTTACGTGTAGCTGAATTTTGCAGGAATCTGCTGATTATTATTGAAAGAAAATTACCTAGCTTGGGAAATGAGAGGGAGTGCTTTGCAGTATGCTAGCGGTAACCATCAATTTTCTTGACGACAGAATTAATATTACTAACTATGACTCAGATGCTCAGATGTTTACGTGATTTTTATTTTACTCATTTATTGTTATTTTACTATCGATACTAGACAGTCTAATACTACCAATTCCAATTCTGATATCTCTAAGAGTACATAAGAACTGAATCAGATGCAACTTATACTAGTATCAATAAAAGTTTATTTTTAATCTTTGGCAGATATAAACTTGAATGAAAATGATATGGATTCTCATGGTCATGAAAGATATATTAAGATTATTTCTTACTGTATTTGTCTAATTAGTCGCAAGATTAATCGAAATGGGAGATTGAAAATTTATAAAATTACATATTATACCAACGATGAAAACCCATCTAGGATCATAAATAATATTGGTTATACCGGACCGTTTTATGCAATATAAAATTCCGTTACTAATTGTTATTATACCAGCTGCATAGTAATAATTAAATAATTAATATAAAATTAATAATTATTAAATCTGTATAAACTTATGTGAATAAATTACTTTGTTTTATTTAATGATTATAATCTTATAACGCTTTATAATGAAATTCGTCTTATTATCATTGAATAAAAAAAAATTTTTTTTTAACAGTATATGAACAAAAAAAGTTTGGATATTAAATCTAAATACAGATATAGAATCCGTTCATACATTTTTTAAAGTATCACAATTTAATAATTTGTCAAAGAAGTACATTATCTGCTATATTTTGATTCGAATATTTTTTTTTTTTTTTTTTTTTAGAATCATTAATTTGACGCGAATTTTTTTACAGTTTTGACGCTTACTTCTGGTAAGTTTCTAACGTCGTTTTTATTAAACAGCATTAACTACCTTTTTTTTGTAGATGCTTCTTATCTTGACTTTTGGAGCTTCGGGTAACATTGTCATATTTTTTTTGTTAATTAACGTTAACTCTCTCTTTAATTCTTTCGGCTTTTAATGGCTTTAGATTTTGGCATCAAGGTCCAAGTAAAAATTTATCTTCTTAAATTAGCCATCTTCTTTTTTCTTTTTTTGGTTGAGTTTTTCATATTCAATTTCATTTCTTCATTTCGTTTTGGGCTTCACCTTTTTATTTCATTTTTCGATTCATCTTTTATCGTTTTCCCATCACCTTTTCATTCCTTATTGTTTCTTTTCATTATCCTTTCGCCTTTCATTGTTCCTCTCATTCCTCATCGTTCTTTTCATTCCCTTTTCATTTTTCATCATTCTTTTATTCCATTTTTGTTCTTTACATTCTTTTCGTCCTCCACGTCCTCCATCAATTTTTCATCATCCTTTCGTTCTCTATCGTTCTTTACATTTCCTTTCATCCTCCATTGTTCTTTTCACTATCCTTTGGTTCTTTATCGTTCTTTTCATTCATTCTTTCATCCCCCATCGTTATTTTCATTCCTCTTTCATTTTCCATCGTTTCTTTATTTAAAATAAAAAATTATTTTGTAATTTTATTTAGTTAGTAAGTTATAAGTTATTTATTTAATTCTATTATTACTTATTTATATTCTTTTCATTATCGTTTCATCTCTCGTCCTCATCATCTTTTTTCCTCCATCTTTCTTTTATTGAAAATCTTTTTCCATAATGATTCTTTTTTTTTCAAGCAGGTAAAGGATTAGACGATTAGTTCTTCAATCAATCTTATACGAACTCAAACTAATATTTGCTTTTGTCAGAAAACAAAGGCTTCAAATTGGTCTTCTATTTCTTTAGTAAAAGATGGGTTAAGACTTATTTTTACATGGTTAATGGGTGATTGGCTAAGATTTTGACACGTCAGTGGCAATATAATTATAGGTTTCTTTATCTGTCGGCATCCTGGACCATTGAATGTAGCATATTTTCTTGCCGCATTAATAGTTGTAGGTGAAACCTAAATTAACATCATCGAATTTATTTAGAATATATCACAAAAATATACAAGAAATAATTCATATTATATTTACTCCAAGTCTATTTTGTAATTCCTGATAAGAAAATTGATGTGCAATAACGGACAAAATTCGTCGTATCCGATCTGGGCCCTTTAGATTTTGTGTTAAACTTTTCGCGAAAAAATTCCAGAATAATTATGACGAATTTTGAGGATATTATAAAGCCTAGATTAAAGAGATTCTTCAAAGCATTTTTATCATCTGTATCTACGCTCATTGAAGCCCAAAAAGAAAAGGAAATTCAATTCAAATCACATAAAGATCGTGTCCAAATTTTATGCTGTTTTTCATATGAATTGTAATAATTTCTAATGTAAGACGAAATAAATCAGTAATAAAATACAATTACCGGAGATACTTCACTATTAAAAGGTGTGCATTTCACGATCACTAAATTGATAATTTTTTGGATAAATCCATAAGGACTGTATTTATTTCAATAATATTTCCACTAGACTCCCATTGTTTAAATAAATTCCAATAAATAGTTCGTTTTTTGAGATGATATTCGTATAAACTATTCATTAGTTCTTCATTACTCCATTGAGATGGTTGACAGATCGCGTATATGCATGCTCAAATCCAAATAATTGTGTACCTTGGAATTTTCCCAAAATTCCAATTTTTTTTCCAAACTTCCACAGGTAAATACCTTCATAATGTGAATTTTAGCAATTATTATTCCATACTTCTACTAGCGGAATTCTATATCTTGTAATAATTCAATAAATATTAATTCCTTATCAAAACTCATAACCATTGAACCCGAAATTGAAAATTTGTCCATATAAAGAAGTAATTGTTATTAGTTGGATTATCTTCAGTTTCACTGAAATCAGAATCACATTGACAAGTATAACCAGGTTGGTTCAAATCAAATTTGTTCTTTCTAAAATACGTAATAATAAATTATTTTTCATTTATTTCTACTTGTGTTTTCATAATAATCCGAATAGGATACATCATTTCTATATCATTATTACTATTTATCGTTGGAATAAACCACCAATTTCGTGAAAATGTAAGCGGGGTTCAATTATTCCACAAGAAACTAACGTAATTGCTAGTTCGTGTCGTTTTGTCATAAGTACGATAATATTTACACAATTTTTAAACAATAACTTTTTATAACTATTATTTAATAATGTAAAGTTGTTAACTTATAACGAAACTAGCTTTAATAAATACAGAATAACTACGGGTTTTTTTTGAGATTTCACGAAGAATAACCCGAAAATCAAATACTATATGGTTTTTATGCACGTGCTACACATGATCGGCGAATTTTACGAATTAAAAAAATTGGTAACACCCAGATAATTTCTTTTTAAGCATATAAGACTTTTCAAAAAAAAAATTTCTCTTTTCTTTCTTATCGCAATTTATCGTAATTTAATATATCAGATACACACACACATTGTTTTTATTTATGTACAATATATATACATAATTTTTTTTTTTTTTTTTTAGAATTTTATTTATTTATTTATTATTATTTATTCGTTTCTCCCTATTTTTTTTAAAAAAAAGAAAAATGACTTATTTTGATAACCTTCAAAGAAACTATACTGATGTACCTATTACGGAAGACGGTATTGAAACTATACCTTTTATTGAAGCAACCAATGGACTTGTAAAATTGTTTGGTATGAAAAAAAAAGATTTATTTCTTTCTTAGAATGTATAGAAATTTTATTCTAAACTTTTTTTTTTTTTCTTTTAGACTTGCTTGGTTCGAAAGCATTTAATGTCGTTCAAAGTGATATGAATGGAAACATTGAGGTACGGTTTAATTTTAATCGGTTTAATAGTTTTAATCGGTTTAATGGTTTTTAATCTTAATAGTTTTAATAGGGTTAATGATTTTAATCTGTTCAATTTGATCATAATTCTTTTATATAGAAAATTAAGAACCGCTATGAAGCTGATCCAACAAAGAGCCCTACTCTTGAAAAGTTGGTGATTAACGAACAAGGTGAAAAGAAACGTACCGCTACTGAGGGTTTATTGTGGTTGAAAAGGTTAGTAATTTCTCTTTTTTTTTCGATCCTACCCATAAATTTCATATTATTTAATAAATTTCATATAATTATAGAGGATTGGAATTTACTTCAGTAGCATTAAGGCGTTCCATTAATGATGAAAATGAAGAACTTACGGTTTCTTTTACTGAGGCTTATGGTGTTACTTTGAGACCATTTCATTCCATGCTCGTCCGACCTATATTTGGAGTACGTTATATCATTTTTATTTTTTTTGCATACATCATATATATGCATATATTAAAAAATTTTCTTTTTTTTTTGGATCAATCAAGTTGGCAATGAAAGCTTGTCCTTATCGTAAAGATTTTTTTGAAAAATTGGGTGATGATCAAGAAAAAGTTAAACAACAATATGAAGAATGGTTATTAGCTTTTGAAAAGGTTGTTCAAAGATTAAATAACTTTTATACTGAAGGTGGTTATGATAAAGGTAAATTTTAATAATAGATAATAATATACATTTGTTGATTTTTTTAAAAAATTTTAATAAAATAAAGGAAGATGGAAATTATAATTTTGAAACTAAGCAAAATTAATTGGTTTTTATTAATAATGCAATCTATTATTTTAATAAAATTTGTAATAATTTGTTGAGATCAATTGGAATAATTATCTAATTTGTTAAGATCAATTGGAATAATTTTTGATATTTATCTAATTTGTTGAAGATCAATTGGAATAATATTTTTTTTTTTTTTAATAATTATCATCATTTTACAAATATATTATTAAAAGGATTTCCCACCAAATAATGAAAAAAAAAAAATTATCTAAGAAAAAAAAAAGGCAGCGGAAAATAAATTGAAAACAAAATAGATTTCTTTTTAATTTTTGTTTTCAGCTTCACCAGGCTTCTTTGAATTACATGCTACAATCTTGATTTTGTCAACAGGTAACGATTCATGTTCCAATTTGAAATTAGGATTCTTAATAATGAATGTCCATACTTCATCGCAAAATCGATAAGTATGAAGATGTCCAGCCTGAAAATTTCAACAATTAAGTTAATGAAACAAATTTTGATCAATCAATTTAAATAATGAATTAGATTTTAAGCTTACTTTAAAAGTTGCCTTATGTTTGACTTTATTTTCAAGAGATTCCGCTATACTTTTATCAAACTTGAATTGAATTGAAATATAAATTTGATAAATTTGATTTTTGTAAGTAATAAATTAACAAAAACAAAAAGAGGATCATATCAAGATATATTATATATATAATTCACGGATTCACGGATCAAATCATAAATTCCATATATAATATATATATAATCTAATTACTTTATATAAAATGAATTGAAACGAAGAAAAAAAAAAAATCCTATTTCTTATATTGATTCATAATATTAATTTTTAAAACATACTTGTAAAAGAACCTTCATCGCTAGTTGTGGAGAAATTCGGGCATTTTTAATTAACTCGTCAAGAGAATCTGTCAAGGCCACACCAATACTTTTTATATAAATTACGTTTAAAACATAAAATAATTGTCAGTAAAGGAAAAAAACAAGATAATTAAAAATTAAATATATATATTTTACATATAAATTTTTAAAAAACTATTATTTAATGATTTTCATTAACGATTGAGAGAGATTTTTTTTTTAAAAAATAAAAAATACAATAAATACGAAAGAAAAACCTGTTTCTTTTAAAATAAACAGGTTTTAACCTTCTTCTACAACAAAGTTCTTTGTAATACCAACCTGCTTCTGCGATAAAGTTCATAGTAATGAGTCATTGTGATAAAATGTTTTATTGACAAAAAGAGGACTTCTATTAAAATTTTTACGAGTTGAAAAAAGAAGAGAGAAGTTTGCCTTTATAAAGGGGCTGATGATACAATTTTTGTGTTGATTCAACCAATGATTTTTATTGTAATAATAATGTAATATTTCCATTACATTCAAGCACGTGAATCCTATTAGTCAATCCCATTTTATAACTTATTTTGGTAAATTAAATATAATAACTTTATACTTGAAAATACTTAATACTTTTTCAGTATGTGATAAATTAGTCTTAATATACCTTAATACAAATTTATAATGGTGATGATGATCATTAAAATTTGCCATAAATCGTTAAATCAAAAAAATTATAAATAATCCCCAACTTTTTTTTTTCAATTTAATTTTTTTGCATATTTTAATATTTCATCAATTTCAAATTTATCGAAATTTTGAGAATTAATAATATTTTCATGATCTAATACATTATAAGTAATACCAACGCAATGTAAATCATCAAGATAAGATTCTTCAAATTTCCATTCAGGTTGTAATTCATTATTAATAAACAATTGTGTTTTTGATTTTATTATCTACAAAAAAAAAATATTATTTTAAAAGGGTATAAAAGATATAAAGATAAAGATATAAAGATAAAGATATAAAAGATATAAAAGATATAAAATGTATAAAAGGTATAAAAAGGTATAAAAGGTATAAAAAGGTATAAAAAGGTATAAAAGGTATAAAAAGGTATAAAAGGTATAAAAAGGTATAAAAGGTATAAAAAGGTATAAAAGGTATAAAAAGGTATAAAAAGGTATAAAAAGGTATAAAAGATATAAAAGATATAAAAGGTATAAAGGACATAAAAGGTATAAAAGGTAAAGGTATAAAAGGTATAAAAGGTATAAAAGACATAAAAGTTATAAAAGGTATAAAAGGTATGAAAAGTATAACAGGTATAAAAGGTATAAAAAGTATAAAAGGTATAAAAGGCTTAACAGGTATAAACGGTATAAAAGATATAATAGATATAATAGAGATATATAGTAAACAAACCTGCGGATTTTCTATTAAACTAGATTCTTCATTTGATAGATGAAATTCGATAGATCTCAAATCCAAAGATAATCCTAATCCAATAGCTTTTACATAACTTTCTTTTAAACACCAAAATTGATAAAATTGATGTAATTGTTGGAATTCTGTATAATTTTGATTTGTTATTGTTGACCATTCATAATCTGAAAACTATTAGAAAAAACAATTAATTAATTAAATATTATATATACACATATATATATATATATATATTATTTTATACCCGATCTTTGAGCGTTTCAAAAAAATATTCCAAAGTTTGATTTGAAGGTAATTCAACTTTCATTACATCAACACCAATCAAAGAATTTTCACTAGCAACTAATACAACCCAATCTCCGTGATGTGATATATTAAAATTTATTATAGGATCGGAATCTTTCATTTTAGGGGTCACCTTTATATAATATAATTATAAATTAACCAATTGCAACCTTATACCTTATAATATATATACATATATCATCTTACCAAAATGGGTTTGTTTCTTTCAGTTCTAGAAAATTGAATCGTATTCCAATCATATTTATATAATTTACAAAATAATAATCTCATTAAACATCTACCAATTAATGAAAGTTTTGCATCTTCAATAAAATAAGATCGATTTATTCGAGATTTTTCTTCCGGTTGAATAAAAGATAGAATTTGTTGATATTGCTTTAATAAAATTTTTGTGAAAATTTATGTACTTTTTGTTATATTTATTATATTACGTTAAATATCATATTCAGAAAAAAAAAATTTATTTACTTCATCAGATGGATTCCATTCACTAACATTGAATGCCCATCGAGCTGTTATTTTTGTTGATGACATTTTTTCTTTAATAAAATATTTAAGTATTAAAATTGTATCAATGTTTTTAGTTGGTCAAATGATGAAAGAAAAAAAGGTAAAATTGATATTTTTTTTTCAAATTAAAAAAAATTTATGTAGTACGATCGACTTGCATTTTATCAATTTTATCATCTATATCATCTATTTATATCATCTCTAAATTTATACCATAATATCATTAAGTATCATATTTAAGTACAGAATATAAAGGTGCATCTAATTTTTTATATCCATCAAATACTGTTAATTCAACCACGAAAATATATTCCAAAAGTTTACCACCAAGTTTATTAACAAGTTTACCAGCTGCAACCGCTGTACCTCCTACAATTGATAATTCATAATTTATTCACAATTGAATCAAAATCAAATGATAAAATTGTTCAAATTATTAATATCTTTACCTGTTGCCATAAGATCATCTATAACAATAACATTTTGATCTTGTTTAATTGCATCCTCTTGTATCTCAAAAATATCCTAATAATATTAAAAATTTACATAAATCTTATGTATAACAAGGTAATATAATTATAAATAAAATACGTACCGGTCCATACTCCTTTTGATATTCAACATCAATAACTTTTCCAGGTAATTTACCTTTTTTTCTTATAGGGACAAAAGCAGCATTTAATCTTAAAGCCAATATTGGTCCAAATAAAAATCCACGAGCTTCCAATCCTAAAAGGATCAAACCATAATTAGATTTGAAATTCTTTATCAATTAAAAGAAAAAGGATGATTATAATTTTATACCAACAACTACATCGATTTTTTCTTTTGTTGAAGTAACATGATCCACAATATTATTTATGATAAATTCAACTGCTTTAGGATTTTGAAAAATGGGTAAAATATCAAGGAAAGGAATACCCTATTCAAAGGGTCAAAATAATTAAAATAAAAAAAATATTATATATAATATATATATAATAATTAAAATTATATCTTTAATAATTTAATAATTAAAATTATATCTTTATATCTTTATATGTACCTTTATTGGAAAGTCTAGTACAGTTCTTGTAAGATTACGAATATCTTGAATGTCTTTAATATCGGACATTTTTATTAAAAACAAGGGTAAAGAGTATATTTGTTTGTTATATAAAGAAAATTTTTTTTTATTGATTGATTGATGGAATCTACGTAATACATGCTGTGCAATATGGCACTGATAACTGATAAGTGATAAGGTGTAAATCCATAATCTTCATAATCCTATAATCTTTGAACTCGTATGAATATGAATGTTCGTCGGTCTTTGATACTTATTTGGGCAATAGACATGAAATTTTTTATCGCGCATTGAATCACAATTTTCATTGGTGAAACTTTGTGGGAAAATTGTGAAAATTATTCAAATTGTAAAAATTATTCAAGTTGTGAAAATTATTCAAAAGTTGTGAAAATTATTCAAAAGTTGTGAAAATATTCAAAAGTTGTGAAAATATTCAAAAGTTGTGGAAATATTCAAAAGTTGTGAAAATTATTCAAATGAAAACATTTAAAAATTGTGAAAATTAATAAATTTCACAATTTTAATAATTTTCACAAAACATTTCCTAAATCATAACGGCAAAATCCCTAAAAGTTGCTTATTTCCGTGAGGTCATATTACGTACGATATAAGCCAGCTAAAAAAAGATAAAAAATACCACCATGACTAATCTCAATAAACGCGTTCTTTGTAAAGATCATCATAGGTTTCGATCTGCGCAGTGGCACTTACATAAATCGGTGTAAAGAAAAAAAAAAAAGAGGGGGGACCGAGTGAGGGAAGGGGGGTGAAGGGGGAAATTGAATGAACTTTTGGTTTTAGAAATAAATCTATACTTTTATAAGAAATATTTATTATTGAATTTTCCATAATTATAAATGATTTACCCATTTAAGAAATCATATCAAATAAAAACAATCATAAATTTTTTGATTGTTTTATTTTATTAGTAATAAAGTAACAACGCTTTTTTTTTTTCTTTATTTCTTTTCGAAATAAAGATTCTTTTTACGTCAAATAAAAAAAGAGTAAAAAAACTATAACGACTAATCGGAATTATTATGAATGCATTAATGAATTTCCATTTTTAAATTAGATTAAAAAATTTCAAAGAAAATTCAACTTTTTTAGAAAATGATCAACAAATATAATTTCAGTCGTATATAAAAAAAAAAATCCATTATCATAACTTTAAAAAAAAATAATAATTTTTTACTATTTTCAATGTAAATTCTTTCATGTAGTGTAAAATTATAATACAGTAAGGATACATAATTAAAGGTAATTGGACATGAAAATTTATGATAAACATATTTTTCTTACACAAAAATATCACGATATTCTTTCAAAATAAAACAACAAATAAAAAATAAATAATAATATTTTTTTTTTTCACGCGGGATAGCTTTTTTTAATGCAGCATTATTATTTGTCCTTCTTTATAGTTTTAAAACTTTTTATTTACAATGAAAATTCGGTCTAGACTTTTTTTACATATCAGTTAAAAACCATTAAACTTTTTTTGCGTCATATGCGTCATATACCCATGTAAAATTTTGTGAATTTGAAGTTTAAAGAAGTTTCCTAACCAAATAAGTTTTCTAACCATTTAAACTTTAAATTAGAAGTTTCTTAACCAAATATTTAAGATTTAGAAAACAAACTCCCTTGTAATATTTTAGAATTCAAAGTAAAAGTAAATATCGTATGATTTCATAGTATCACGTGTTGCATTCCAGTTATATCCTTACGCGTGCGCAGTTACATGCATTCATTCATATGTCCAATAACTCCCGCTTAATCCGAATTACATTAAAATAGATCGTAAAAAGAACAAATAAATTTTAATTATCTAATAATTTATTTTATATTACCTTTTGGTTTTTACCTTTTGACCAGTTAACATTGGTTGACATTGATTGGGCATCCGGTTGGTATCAAAAAGAATAAAAAGGAATAAAGGATAGTTGATAGACACTTTCATATGAATTATTTTCTTCACATGAGAGAATAAAAGATCTGTGCAGTTAATCAACTTTTTCTAGAAGCAATTATTTAGAATAACGACCATTCAATAACATAATATTATTGAATACACAATATAAAGTTTTAAAATAATTAGTAAAAGATGAAACTTGATTGATTTTGTTTATATCAAAATTTGTCAATAAATTTAATATTAAGTTCTAGACCTTTATGTTTAATACTATTATTGGATATATTTAGAACGATAAATTTGATGACGCAAAATTTAATATATACTGTTTACATGATATTCACCTAACGGTAAGTCGATGCAGCTATGTTTGTACGGTTCTGGAACCCTGCGTTTTTTTTTTACATATATATTTTTTTTTTATTGGATATTTTTGTAAGATCTTTTTACAATCTATTACTATATAAAGTATGATTTTTTTTTTCATTTTAAAAACACAAAAAAAAAATTTTAAAAATAATCTGCAAAATATCTTACCTTTTGAATCTTTTGACATTCTTCTTTTTCTTTTCTTTTTTTTTTTTTTAAAAAAAAAAAATGTCATTTTTAACAAATCTTACATATTTTCCTTTCGTTCTTTTAAATAAAATGTGTGGAATGGTAATGGAAAATTCAATCTCTTATAAAACTTATATATTTAATAATAATAATAATAATAATCATATAAAGTTGACAACACTTTCATCACTTCCTGATGATATTCTTTACATTATTAAAAAAGATTTAGATTTCTTATCAACAATATCATTAAGATGCGCGTGTCGTCAATTATATGCAATATTTACTGATTCTATCTTATTTTCGGAAATTATCCTCCTTTCAAATATTAATCAACAACAATTTAACAATTTAATAAATTATATTGTTTCAAATAATATGAATCAATATATTCGAAAAGTATCATTTAATCAATCGCAAATAACTGAACAAGCGATTGTATCTGTATTGGAACATTTTTATAATTTACAAATTTTAAATATTTTGGCTTGTAAACAAGTTAAAATATTACCAATAACAAATGCAATGGTAAAATGGCATCAAGATAAATCAGGAAATTCCCCTGATTTAAAAGAATTAAAGAAGATTATTTTAACAAGATGTATTGGAGGAAAAAGACATTCTTTAATTATTAAAAAAGTTATTGAAGATTTACGTAAATTAAAATGTGATGATGATGAAGATATTACTCAAAATAATAGTTTATATCTTGGAATAAATCATAAACCAATTCCATTAAAGATCAATCTTATTTTAAATTCTTCTTCAAGAAAAGATTTTGATACGAACGATGATGGTATATTTCAATTTCAGGATTGTCAAAATGATACCTGTGAATTCTGTACTATGTCATGTGTTATTTGTAAAACTAAATATAAATATTGGGATGAATTTTGGATAAAATGTGGATGGTGTAAAGAAAGAAATTTTTGTGGAAAATGTGTTGTGGAAGCATCGAAAAAGAATACTTTTAAGAATCATGCTTTTCAATTCATGAGAATAAAATTATGTCAAATTTTTGATTTACCTTGTCCTTATTAAAAAAAAGTTTTATTTATTTATATATATATATATATATAGATTATATACATATATATTAGGAACAATTATTTCAAATTCTTTTTCAAAACTTTTTCTCTCTCTTTCTCTCTCTCATATTCTTCTTTCTCTCATTCATTCATTCTTTCATGTAAATAGTACTTTTTTACCGAATTTTTGGTTTATGTTTATTGTTTTGATCAGCTGGACAGATTTAAAATTAAATAAAAACGTATTTAAAAAAAAAAATTATTAAAACATTTTTTAATATTTTTGCATTTCGCGTGGGTATGTCGGTCGATCGTGTGTGTGATACTTGGTAGATCCAGATCGGTCTAGACGGTCTAGATCTCGGACTATGTACTAAATCTGACTTTCAAACTTTTTTTTAAACAAACCATGCGGACTTTATGAATCCCAAACTGTACATTTTAGAATGAAAAAAAATAAATAAAATTATTAATTTAATTCATTTATTCAATAAACAAATAAATGACAAATTATGAAACTATAAATTTTTAAACAATTTTTCCTTTTATATTAAATATATTAAAATACCCTGGTTGATAAGGATGAACCCCTTGAACCCTTGAATTAACCACAAAGCAATCACACGACATTTTATACAAATAAATACTGAATATATAATAAATATAATTTATATATATATTATACTATTGGATATAATTATTATATCTAATCTTATCATTATATGATTTATATGGTATCTTTTATTTATATGTTATCGAAAAGAATCTCTTATCAAAAGAATCCTATTTATTATATATTGTATAACAATTATAATTAATTAATTTTTTTTTTTAAAAAAAAAACAAATAAGAAGGTTTTTTAGGTTTAAAAAGAGAATTATTAATTATTATTTTTTTTTTTATTTGAATAAAAAAAAGGTTTCGTCCATTAAAGTTTAGGTTTAAAAGAGAATTATTAATTAATTAAGGGTTTCTATTAATAGGATATATAGATAATGCAAATTTAGGCAGTACATATAATTTATAAACATTTTTATCATTATCATTTTTCTTTATTTTCTTTTGAACCATGTTTTTTTTTTCAAACGGTTTCATCCGATTTATCAGCCTACTAAGCCTACTACTAAATAGATAATATTGATATACAATCTGATTTTTTAATTTACGAGAAAGATAATCGCGATAAACCATTTGAAAATCATAATTTGTTTCATTAAATAAACAATTGATTTTAAAATGAATTACTAAAATAATATATCATTTTGTAATGATCTTTTTGGTCATTTTATATAAATAATAATATAACAAAAAAGATGATTAAGTTGTTTTATTAACCAAATTGACATGTTGACATGTGGTCACATTTTTCTTTGATGTGTTAGTCCAACAAAAAAAGAAACGGCAAGGATTATCTTAATTGAGTAAATTTCACCTTTAAAAGAATTTGGTATAAAAATACTTTTTGAAGTATCGTTCATGTTTAAGCCCTTATCAATGGCTAAAAAGTCGCCAAATTGAAGTAATATTTGCATTTTTGGTAGTACAATGTTCATACAATTTTCGCAGTTTTTTGCCACATTGTGTACATATGCCGTTTATATTCAGACTATACCGTATACTCCGTATATTTCGGAAGTATACTCCCCATGCGTAATATGCGTAAATATCCCCCATCTTTCACTATCTTTCATCTTTCACCCTAAAATCTAAATACACAGTTTGATATAGCCCCCTAATCTTACAGCGAAGAATTAAAAGATTATAGATTAGGTATAACGAGAGAATTTCGATAAATGTGATTGGTTAAATGTCACATGTTTAGCAAAATTCGGGACCATAATGAAAATTTGAAAAAACGTGCATTTAGAGAGGGAGTGCATTTAGAGAAGGAAATTTTATATGATACTTGGGACTGAGTAAGAGGGTGCAGTTAGAGAAAAGATATATAATACGTGCACTTAGAGAGTGTGCACTTAGAGAGTGTGTATCATGAATTCATTATATCGAGGGCAGACTGTAACCATATATTTATAACTATATACACGATTTTGTGATTATTATACATATTATTCTCATTATAGTTCCCAATATACGGTAATAAGGCATGAATCCCTTCCGAATGGGTAATGATTCATATTTTAAACATATTAATTGGCACTATCTGCTATAGTTTCAATTTTTTTATTTGATAACCAATAAAATCGATTCTATCGATTCTATCGATTCTTATTCGATTAAAATAATCAAAAAAGTTGAAACATTTCATAAATTCCCGTATCAATTAATATCGATTAATCGATTAATCGATTAATACTATGGAATACTATGGAATAATATGGAATACATGGAATACTATGGAAATACTATGCTTATATTTTTTAAACCGTCCACCGGCATATACATACCTGGAATATCTGGAAAATACATGGCATAATTATATAACAAATTCACAGCAATCACGTGATAAATAGAAGTTTCGTTGGAAAAGTGACTATCATTCATAAAAAAGGTAATAAATATTTTAAATATAATAATACTAAAATATGACTACAAAAAAAAAGGAAACCCCGCATTTCGGAATTTTGATATATTTAGTGCATTCATACAATACGTAATATATTAATTTTTACTTTTTTCCTTATTTAACTTAGTCCTTCTCTTAGAGAATCTATTAATAAATAAATTGTTTACATAGATTAAATACATAATCGCCAAATGTCATATATTAAGTTAATTTGTCAATCAAATAATTTATTCCTAATATGTTTAAATAGGAATTACCGTTTATTTTCTTTCCCTTTTCTATCCTTTATCTCCTTTTATTTAAAAGGTTTCAATATAATAATGAACGATAATTATAATTATAATAATTATAAAATAATTATAATTATAATTGTTCCTTTGTTAATCTGAAAAGAAATTTTTTTTTTTTTTAAAAAAAAAAAAAACTGACGCGAAAAATTTGCAACACCATTTAAGGAATAAAAATGTGTATTAAGACTAACTAAATGTATTAAGATAATGTATTAAACTAAAAAAAAATTGGCACAATCGAAATCAAAATGACAACAATATTTTATTTTGACTTCGATTACGTTTTTGGATGATGATCTTCGACTATTTTGGATTTCAAAAGAAAAAAAATTTTGAATAAAAATCATTGTTATTCATTCTAGTAAATGTAATTTAATTATGTCATGATCTGTATTCTAAATTTACTTTACTGCAAGTTGAACAATGAGTTTTATTCGAACGAAACCGTAAATGAAACTAGGAATGAATTTTTTTTGCTTCGCGTTTGCAGTTTTTATTAATCCTTTGTAGTTAAAATTTTATTCGTGCTTAACAATTTAAATATTTTAAATAGATTATCAATCTAAAAATTTCACGTTGCGCATAATTTATAACAATTTACAATATTTACAATTACAATAAATAATTTACATAAAATGATCTTAAATCAAAAAAAAAGGTTCAAATTTATATTACAAAGAAAATCAATTTACAATATGAAGAATATGAAGGTAGAATATATTATAAATTTAAAAATAGAAATTTATTTTTATAAAGAAAATATATTAAGTTATGACTTATCATAATAATTAAACGATATTTTTGATTAACATCAGATCTTATCATGTGATTGGTGGCCCACATTAATTATTTATAATTTTGGCTGGTATTACCTGTCAAAATAAATTCTTTTTTTCCGTTATAAATATATAATAAATATTTTGTTTTTTTTAAAAAAATCAGTTATTCAATTATCTATTATCTATAGACTTTTTTTCCTTTTACTGTTTTAATTTAATTTGATGATTTGTATAAAAATAATTTTGAAATGAATATTGATATACTAAAAATAATTACATACAATGGATGAACATTACCAAAAATTATCAACGGAAATTGTGGAAAAATGAGATCGGAATTATGACGAAAAAATCCTTCAATATGACATTGCTTATTTATTTATATTTGATAAACATTGTACACTCTTTTTTTTTCTTTCTCTTTTTGACCGGAAAATATTTTTGATATTAATAACATATATATAAGGATTATTATCCTTTCACGAAATTAATAAGTGATAGAATGTTGGAACACAAATAATATATATATAATAATATATATATTTACTGTAACCAGGAAATATATTTATTTACTGTAATGAGTGTAACCAGAAAACATATAAAATTCTATATACATGTTCTAATATCTATATAACACAAAAAATTTTATATCTTAACCCCTAAATCTTAAAAGGGGGGACATCCCATTGATAAACTTTATATTCTCGATTTATTTTATAATGATCTACAATAATCCGATCCTGTTGTATAACACAAACTATATATGTCATTATTCTCAAATTCCTGGGTTCTTCTTTTTTACCTCCTTTCACTCCTTAAAACTTAAAACTCCTTTTTTTAAAATGCTCCTCTTGAAATCTTTCTTCATAATCAAATATTATCATCATTATCATTATTATAATTTTTTTTTTTTTTTTTAGATTTATAATCATAATAATCATCATTGAAAGGTTGAAAGAAACTTAAAAATCTGGTTTGGGCTTATCAAAGTTAAATTTGTACAATATTAATTCAAGGGTTGTACATATTTTTTTTCAAGTTCTTACCGCCAAAAAAATTTCTTATTTTCATACATTCTTGTTTTATCAATTTATGGATTTTTGTGTGTGTAATGACAAATCAAGTGACAGAAATTATTATATTTATAATGTATTGTATAACTAAATACAATGCGTTATGTATGAAGAATATTTTTCCTTTTATATACTGCTATATCCAAAGCATTTGGTTTTATTTGTTTTTTTTTTGTTAAAATAAACCCTTAATTTATTTTCCTTGTTGTTGATCTTTTCCTTTTAGATCAGAAAAAGGTCGTTTTTTTTAGTCAAAAAAAATTTTTTTTCATTATAAATAGTTGTTTTATGTTTTTTTAATTTAATAATAATAACATTCTTTAATTAATATAGTATATATTTTTTTTTTTTCTATTGTTTTTTTTTCATTCTTTATAAAAAATATCCTAATTGTAATATATTTGAAAAGAATGGGTAATAATCATTCATCGTCGTCTCGTGTTAATAGACATAACAACGGGACCATGAGATTGAAAAATAAAAAAAGTAAACAACAATTGATGGAAAGGGAAGAACATAAAGAATCTGCAAAATCTCGATTCCATTTACCAAAAAATGATCAAGATATTGATAGAATGCAATTACAACATTTTTTGTTCAAACATATTTGGAATGATGAGAATTATTCTTCTCCAATTGAACAAATATTAAAATCAGGCGATTGTAAGGTTTTAGATGCTGGGTAAGTTTTTCGATTTTCGATTCTCGATTTTTTTTAATCAAAATTTAATTTTTCATATTCTCGGTTTCTTTTTAGTTGTGGACCAGGTGCATGGTTGCTTGAAATGTCTACACAACATCCTTTAACAAGATTCTTTGGTGTTGACATTGCAGCAGTGTTCCCGTCGGAAATAAAACCAACCAATTTAAATTTTCATCAATGTGATATAAATCGAGGTTTACCTTTTAAAGATAATTACTTTGATTTTGTCAGGATGAGTTTAATGGCTACATCCCTAAAGACAGATCAATGGGTTAATGTCATAAGAGAATTAGTAAGGTATGTAAGATTGTAAGCTAAAAAATATATATATATATATATATATAATATAATAATATATTTTCTCAAATTTTTAGGGTATTAAAACCTGGGGGTCATTTAGAACTTATAGAAAGAGAATTACAAGTGTATAATGCAGGTCCACATTTTACATTTATGATTAAAAATAGTAAGTGTACAATTTAAAAATACATATATACATATACAGTATACATATGTACATATAAATAATATATATATATTTATATATTTATATTTATATTTATATTTATATTTATGTTTATATATATATATATATATTTCAATATTCAATATTTCAAAATATTAACCATTTTTATTTTTTTTTTGTTTTTTAATTCTTAGTAATGAGTTTTAAAAATTCAAACGATTTAAATGTTTATATAACAAATCAAATTCCTTTGATATTTTCATCAATCCCATCATTAACTGGTATTCAAACGGATTTTCGTATGGTCCCAATCGGTCCACTTGGTGGTCAAAGTGGATTAATATATGGTGATTTATTAGATATGTATTTTACAAATAAACTTGGAGATATTTTACCAAAATTTATGAATATTACAGAAAGGGAATATTTAAATTTATGGGATAGATGTCAATCAGAATTTAATATTTATGCTACTACAGTTAAATTGTTTAGATTTTGGGCTCAAAAAGTTGTAGTAAATAATGATGATGATGAAGAAGATTATAATGATAATAATATAGAGGAAGGGGTGGGAAATGATGATCAATTAGAAAATTAATTAAATAAAATTAGAAAATTTTGGACTTTGTATATATTATACATAACAAATTTTTTTTTTTAAAATAATAAAATAAAAAAAAAAAAAATTTGAATAATTTTTTTTTATTTTAAAAAGGTATAATCACGCAATCAAATAAAAAAAAAAACAAAGTTTTATAAGTTTTTGTCGTACAAAAAAAAAAGAGAATCTATGATGGAAAAGAATTTAAGAAAACAACAAACAACAACAAAATTTTGTACAATCCAATAAAAAAACTTTTTCATGATTGTGTAACCACAACCCAGGAAGACAAGCTCCTATTTTAATCCTATTTTAGTATATCTCAAGTTACTTATCTTACTAAATTACAAAATGTTTAATGTCTTACAAAATTAAAAAATATTTATTTTTACTCACGCCATCCTGAAATACTAATTTAGTAATGAAAATTTCCTGATTACATGTAAATCTTTAAAAGAAATTGACAAAATTTCATGATTTCAATGATTTCACTGATTTTTTTTTTTATGTATTCCCAAACATTTATATTTTTTTTTTACAAAGAATTTTTACAATCTAGTTAAAGTGGCAGAATAATTAATATATAAATAAATACACAAAATTAATATTATTTATTAAAATATCGGAATAACTGATGAAATTATTAAGAAATCATAAAAATAAAAAAAAAATATAAAATCACATGTTGTTATGATAAGCAAAAAAAAGTGATTGTGTTAATGAGTTTTGAAGGGTTTATGTAGATTTTTTCTAAAAAAAAATTCTAAAAAAATGTTTATTTTATTCAAAAAAACTTTTTTTTATGAAATTCCTTTTTTTCCTTAAAATATCATTAGATAATATGATTATATATGATTATATGATGGATATGATGGATATGATGGATATGATCGATATGATCGATATGATGCTTTGTCCCTTTTTTTTTCCCTCCTTTTTTTTTTTCCCATAAAATTAGTTTGAGGTCATTATGCGTAATGCAATTGTAGATCATTAATCGAATATCGGTAGATCAAAGCGCTTGTCCTTTTTTGATTACATAAATTCGAATTTCAATTTGACAGTATTTACTTTTATTTAAATGAATGAAATATATTTTTAAAGTAATTTTATCTAATTCCATCTTGAATTTCTTGAATTGCGGAAAATCCCCCTTATGATATCGCGAAATTTTAATTTTACCTAAAATCAACATTTCTTTTTAAACCATTACGGATTACGAGATACTTTAATGTTTTTTTTAAAAAAAAATTTCCTATTAAATAAAACACTATGAAATATGCATAAGTAACGGTACATTGTACATACAAGTAACGGTACATACGAGTAACAGTACTTGCGAGTAAAGTACTTATGAGTATCTTACGAGTAGCAGACTACGAGTAACTTACGAGTAACAGTACTTGCGAGTTACTTATGCTTATGAGTATCTTACGAGTTACAGACTAACAGTACTTACGAGTAACTTATGAGTAACTCAAATAACAGCTAATAACAATGATACTTACGACTAGTTACGAGAGTAACACTGCGAGTAACGGCTTTGTAAAAAATAAAGGGGTGACAAGCTATCATTTCCTGACCAGGAAGTTTATTTCTTTATTAAATTAATACATTTTATTTCTTAACAGTTAATTGTTTTTTTTACTATGAATTTACTAAATTCGTAATTAATTTTTTATTATGTAAATGGAAATTTCTTTTAACGCTAGCCTGTTTTATTTTTAGCATAGTGTATACACGTACTGTACAATTGAAAATAACGATTTATCTGTTATATGATTCATTTCATTATCAAACCGCGTATTGGTACTCTCCTTGTCCACTATTCTCTGCTACATTAATTACACGTAATATTAAGAAATATCATTGAAGATTTGATGATTTGATGATTTCGAAATTTCGAAATTTCGGAATAAATTTTTACGCACATTTAAAGAAATTATAGGAATTATCAATGAATTTACCATATTTAAACCAAATAATTTAATTAAATTTATTTAATTTTAAAAAAATTTATATTTTTAAAAATACAAAATAGATTTTTACGGAACAATAAAGTAAAAATCATAACTCGAGTAATTTCAAAAGTTTTTGTCTGAATTTGGGAATTTTCATACTATTTCTTCCTATCATCACGATATCATCTTAAAATATCATTCTTTTTACACAATCTTTAACACAACATTGATCCGCAATATTGATAATATTATCATTCGCAAGAAATATATCATCATTCGCAGGGGAGTATATCATCATTTGCTGTATAGGTGCCGTCGAAATTGGCGAATTGAAATTACGGCATTATGAAATATGGATTTTTACCATTTAAATATCTAACAAAACAAGATCAGCATTATAGATTTACGGATTACAAATTATCTACGGTATAATCAAAAAAATATTTACTTTCTTTGTGTAATTTTTGTATATTTGGCATTAAATAATTATGACATTACGGCGATTTAATATATTACGATATAAGCTTCATATGCCGTAATTAATTCCGACGGCAAGTATATTTGCAAGGGAACTCAATCAAGTATAAAAGTACAAAAAGTACCCAATTTCCACTTCACACTCGCTTTTCAGTTCTGTTTGAACAAAGATAATAACATAACAAAATAATCCATCAAAATGAAATTCAATTACCTTTTCTCACTCCTTAGTCCTTATTGTATTCGCACTTTCGCAGCAATGAAATAATCAAGAAGTTGAACAATGGTAAAATTCTTTCTTTAGTACTCATTAAATTTTTTGCTTTAAAATATTAATTTTTCTAATTCATTAATTCGTTATAATTTAGTTATTAAACGTGATGCAGAATTTGAACCGGCTCCAGTTCCAGATGCTCTTCCAGAAGCTGATTCTGAGCCCGAAGCAGATCCTGAGGAAATACAAACCAAAATACAAATATAAATATTATTATAATATATATATATATATATATCCAAAATATAAATATAAGCATAAATATTATCCAAAAAAATATCACAAGAAACCTTTACGATCCTGTAATAAAAAAATTTTTTTGATTGCTTCATTTATTTCATTTACGGTATTTATTTGTTCGAATATTGGAGGAATTATATATATATATATATATGTATATGAGATACATATAGTTTGCTTAATGTGTATATAATGTAATATTTTTTATAATACCTGTTGAATATCATTGTTCATAGTAAATAATTGTTAATTTCCCTTTTTAATTTCTCCAAAACTCTGTATTATTACCAATAAAATTCATTTATTTACTTTTTGCATGTTTTTAAGTGATATCATTGGCCCAAGCTGTATGTATACCCATGTGGAGATCAACTCCGCCGGAGTTCGAAATATAGTACTATCCTCACCTGAGTGGCTGAGTCCATTAAGAAAGTCTGAAAGTCTTACAATTTATTTGTTTATTCATGCCATGGCATGAATCATTGAATCCATTGAATCAAGTATTAAGATATTATTTACTATTATTTATAACGTGCTAGTTAATAATTTAACAAAAATAAATTTTAAATTCAACAAAATTATATTTGAATTCAACAAAAATATTAAAAGCTTTCTTTTTTCCTCGGCAAAGTCATTCGGTTATTAAACGGCCATTATGTGGATCAATTAATATTTCACATCACATTATACACTTTGTATGCTATATTGCAACACATAAGTATATGCAATTACGCATTTTTAACATAAAAATCAGTCAAACAAACTAAAGCTAGGCGTGAACCTGCATGGAAAATGTTCCACACCAATCATCGAAAAATCCAAACCTATCCTATCCGTCATTAATTTAACACAAAATAAAAATATCTCGAATTGATGGCCTATTTAAGAAAGGATCATTGGTGTCACCATGCGATCAATTAAGACCACTATAAGAATGCATTTTAACTGAAAATTTTATTCGTCGTTGTAACGGAATAATTACCTTCTCACATACGGATTAGTTTCCGCTCACCAACTTCACTCTTTCTCTCATTGATACTAAAGATATAGGCCAAGTACGATACATTTTTTTTTATATTATAATAATAATAATTTATATAAAAAAACTTTTTTTTTTCACGAGTTGGTAAATATGTCTTGGCCATTTCAAACCCTTCGAATCCTTTATCCCGTGCTTACCCTTTTATCATTAATTACCATTTTTTTACTTTCTGCATGGGTCTCATCAACAAATTCATTTTCCTCTTCATTCGATTCTTATTATAATCAAATTAATAATAAACAAGAGAATTCAACAATAAAGTTTCCTGCAGAAATTTATTTGGGTTTTATTTTTAGTATAATATCATTTTTATTTACAGCAATTTTATGCTTCCCTACAATTTCACGTAAATTCGGATACAAAATTTTTATTTATTTAATAGATGTAATTTTATCTATTTTTTGGTTCGTCCTTTCAATTTTAATTGTTGCTAGAATTAATAATGGATCTATAATTGACCCTAATAATATAACTATTCAATTAAATGAAAAAATTAATGAATTACAAATTAAAGAAGGTATTCCTGATACGAATAAATCATTATTATTAGGAAAAGCAATAACTATTCTCAGTTGGATACAATTTTTAACTTGGACTTTTACAACAATTATTTTGGCTCATATTCGTTCTCGTAAATGGACAAAGAAAGATAGAAATAAGAGGATTAATATTGTTAGTGGATCATATGACCAAGATGCTAAAATGTTAACTACACCTTCTATTATAAAAGAAATTGATGAATTAGTAAAAAATCCTCCAAATGCACAAACTACAATAGAAGAGACCTCATCGAAAACTCCTGTTTTAGAATTAAATCTTTCGCTTACAACGAATACTACTCTTTATTTACTTGATCCAGTTTCATCTCCTCCTAAAAATGATGATGAACTTTTTTCTATCAAATTATAATATATATATATATAACTTTTGTTAAAAAAGGAATTGTATAGACAATAGTTTATAATATCATTAACATTTTTTATTTTAGATTTCAATCAATATACTTTTAAATTGCATTTTCTCATTAACATTCCATTATATTCATTTACAATTACATTAACTTAATATAATATAATAAGTTCTTGAGTGACGAATACCAGTGGTATATTGATTCTTTTTCTTTTTTTTATCGGTTGTGATAAATTATGAATGTATGATGTGTGGGAAAAAATTTATTTATATATATATATATACAGTATATAGAGATTATGTACTTATACATTATTATGTATATTATTATAGTTATACTCATAACATTTACAACCGGTAATAATACGTAATTTAATTTAATAAATATTAAATTTCTGATCGATTTTATATTTTCATTATAAATTGTTCGAATTAATTGTGTTTATAAATTGTTTTTTATACTTAATTTTCTTAATTTTACTAATTTTACATAAAAAATTTTACAGAAAAATGATCACGTGTCTGAGTTTCTTCGGAATAAAAACTATTTATCGGAGTTTTTTTTTTATAATTATGTTTGAATTTAGCACTATAAAATACAGAAACAGATAAAGGTAACTTGATAACGTAAATAAAACACGAAACTAAGAGAATATAACTCCAACGTATACAGCATATAATCTTTTTTTTTGCGCTTGCCCAAGATGCGCTTAAATAATGATGACAATAATTAACAAAATGTTATATATTTTAAAGCACAAATAAAATTTGAATTGTAACAATATTACGCCTTTGTTAGAAAAATGTTGAGTTTTTACAATTAAATATACTAACTAAATAAAGCTCGAAATTTTTTTTTTTTAAATTTTCTGGCAGCTTTTCTCAAAACAGTTTAGCTTGATTTAAGCTTTAATTTTAAATGCTTTATGTAAGCTTGAACAGGTTAGAGATTATATCATACTAAATTTATTTGAATTACGCTACCATTATCGATTAAAAAAAATTGATTAAACATTTAATGACATTATTTTATGATAGACTGGAAACAAAATTAAAGGAAAATTATCTTTTCTGCACTTTCTGACGTGGTCGGAACTCGGAAGAACTAACATCTTTTCAATATCATAATTAAAACTACAAACGATATATTCTTTTAGACTTACGCCAAGAATGGCTTAAAACCATTAATGACGTAACATATATGTAAACGTAACATCATGATGACGACGATCGTTGAGAAATTTTAATATAAAAAAATAACTCTTTCTCCTAAATTAAATTTTTTTTTCTTTCTTTTCAATAAATTATTCCAATAAATTATTCCACATCTAATAAAAATTTATTCTAGTAATGTCGGCAGATACGCGGACTCCTTTGGTCAATGACTCGCAACATTCTTATTATTGTTTAACACCTGAAAGTGATGAAAATGATAATTCATCTAACAAATCATATGATGATGAATATGATAATTTTTATGAGGAAATTAATGAGAGACTGACTATAATTCGTGATGTCATTAGGAATTTGGTACCTTTGGGTTCAATTAAAAGTGCCGAAGAGCTTATAATTGAACCAGTTGTTGATTACGTATTCGAGAAATGTAAAAAAGATCCGTGCATTGTTTTTGTCGTATTATATTATGCGAGAGGATTACAAAAAATGATTAAAGCTGATGGTAATGGACCGGCTTTAGTCAGTATGAGAACTAGAAGAATTGAGTGTAGTGAATTATTAGCTATAGAATTGTAAGTAAAAAAAAAAAAGTCAATTGTAAGTTTGATTTGATAAAGAAACTAACATTATTTACAAAAAATCAAAAATCTTTCAGAGTTCATAAATTTGATGATCAAGAACTTATATTCACTAAAGTATTAACGAAACGATATGCATTCTCACAATATGATGATCTCGAAACTCGTAAAAATGGTATTTAAATCATATCGTTAATTTAATTTCTTTAAAGAAAGAATACTATTATTTATCTCTTACATTTTTTGTATAGCTTTGGATCTCGCAGCAAGAATTTATTCTGAAAATAGTGATCATGGCACATTGTTTTTATCTGATGATGAAGTTCAATCGTGTCTATATGTAAATATTTTGTATTCAGTATGCATATATGCATGTGATAATTTTTAACTAATTTCTACCTTATTACCATACTTAGGCATTATGGACTGGTCACTTAATGCCGTCACAAATTTCCGATATATCACGTACTATAGCCGTTACCGATTATCATATTCCAAAACATAGTTCAAATTTCTTTGAAACCTATAAAAATTTAGATTTATTATGTATTCCTAGAAATCAATATTTATTTGACGTATTTGCATATGTTACATTTTTATTAATTTATACTCTTTTCGCCGCCAATATTGACGAGATTCGTAAATATGATAGTTATTTGGAAACAATGATGTATTTTTTAGTATCATCTTTTATGTTAGATGATGTTTGTTTAGTAAGTATTCATTTAAAATAATTTCTTCTTTTAAATTTTGTATTTTTCAGATTTTTTTAACAATATGTTATTCCTTTTCTTTTTATAGTTCCAAAAACATGGAGTTAAGCATTTCACATCTCTTAGAAAATTACTTTCATTTATTATATATGCGATTTTCATTATTGACATGATGTTAAGAATTAGAAATTTTATTAATCCTGATAGTTCCCTTCCTTCATTACATCGAAAAATTCTATCATTAGTACCTTTATTTCTTCATTGGCGAGTTCTTTTATTATTGGATGCATTTCAACCAGTTGGAAGATGGTTAACTCAAATTTCAAGAATTTTAAAGAAGAGCATGTCATATTATATTTTATTATCTTTGGCATTTTTTGCATTCTTTCAATCATTTTTAGTTCTTCAAGATAGTTATAATAATCAGAATGATGAGTTAAGTGAATGGGAAATTTTCAAACTTTTGATTAAAGGAATATTAATGTAAGAAAAGATTTTTTTTTTTTTTTATAATTCGTTATTTTTATATTTATTTGTTTGTTTGTTTGTTTTTTTAATTAGTGCACCGGATTTTCAAACTGTGAACGAAGTGGAACATAGATTTGGTTTTTTGTTATACTCTTTTTATGTATTTATAGTTAGTATTATTCTCTTTGCAGTCTTACTTCCATTATTTATGACGGCATTGTCAACTAGACGTTCAGTTCCAGAAGAGTATTTATCACATTTCGCATATTTAGTCTTAAGAGAAGTAAGACAACAAACTCGATATAATTATCCTCCACCATTTAATATTTTATGTTATATATTCATATTACCAATTTACTGTATTTTTGGAAAAAACCGAAATGTACGTTCATATGTGAAAATTTTAACAGGAATAATATTTTTTATTCCAATGATTATTTTTACTTTGATTCAAATACGTGGAGGTAAAAATAATCAAGAAAAGGATGTTAGAGATATAGATGTAAAAGAATTACCGGATTTACCCATTCCTCAAGATGAAAATCAAATGCTTAGAATAATATTACATAAATTAGATATAATTAATGAACAACAAAGCAGGCTTCAATCTAAATTGGAAAATATTGAATCTCATTTAGGTGGTGTTTATTCAGTATAAATTTGTTAAAGTATTTTAAAATAGATTTTAATAAAAGTATACCAGATACCGTACTTTATTTTTAATTAATAAATAAATAATATTATTATATTTTTATATTTTTGTATTAGAAAAGTGAACGAAATGGTTAAATAAATAAATATTTTTTTTTTTTTTTTTAAACATATACTGTGAGTCTGTGAGGTACAAAATTCATATCACATGATTGATTACGTGAACGTGGTCGGTTAAGATCTCCCAACCAATGCTTGACCCGTGTCTACTCTTTTTCTTGTTTATCCTTGAACCTTTAGATTGAAATTTATAATCGATAAAATGTCGAGAGAAGAATATAGCGTGGTCGTCGAAATGGACGATGAGGTAAGAAAATTTGCCTCTTAAAAGTTTTTTTTATTTTTACCAAAGTTATTAAATCCCTAATCTTTAGCCTACTCGAAGGGAAGAATTAGAGTTTCAAGGTTAGTCTCTCTCTTTTTTTTTTTACTCTTAACGTTATTTGCTTATTTTTATTTAATTCGATATTTTCACGCATAGATTTTTCTTCCACTTCCGGAGTTGGTGGCAAAATTTCTAAAGATAAACAAGCGTCCTCTAATAATGACGGTATTGTTAAAAATGTATTTAAGTTAATTGTTTTTTTCTTTTAATAATTTATGTAGAACTAAATTATTTTTAAATAATTTTTAATAGGATTTAATAATGCGTCATTTTTCGATTCAAATCAGTCAATTCGAAATGAATCGCAAGGCGGTTCATACCCTTTATGGTCGATTGAATACTACGCTCGATATTTTGATGTAGATACCACTCAGGTTTGTTAATTAAAAAAGTTTTTTTTTTTTATAATAAAAAGGTTTAACTGAAAAAATATATAATATAGGTTCTTGAAAGAGCATCGAAAAGTCTTTTTCCCAAAGACAACTTTGTTGAAACAGTTGGATCAAATCCTGACTTATATGGTACACACTAATTCTATATCGGATTTTTATTATAATTATTCTAATAATTTTTACTTTATTAAAGGACCTTTTTGGATACCCACAACTGTCATATTTTTACTTTTTGTGACAGCAACAATTGCAAAATTTATTTCAGACAAAGATTCTCCTTATGATTTTATAATTTTATCATTTGGCTTCGCCGCTATTTATACATACTCTTTTGGTATGCCATTTATTGTTTGGGGTGCATTAAAATATTTTGGTTGTAGCCCTTCATTGTTAGATACTATCGGTTTATATGGATATAGTTTAACCATATGGCTACCTATCTCTGTACGTTACTTTTTTGTTTTGTTTTGTTTTCGTTTATTCATATCATTAATAGAAAATCTCATTTTTATTTTATTTCAGATTATTAATATTATTCCTTCTGATACAGTTCGATGGGCCCTTGTAATAGTTGGATTTGCAATTTCAGGATTCTTTATCACAAGAAATCTTTATCCAATTATATCCAGAGCTGATTCGAAAACTTCTAGATTATTATTGATTTTTGTACTAGCGGCTCATGCTGCATTTGCTTTGTTACTTAAATTTAAATTCTTTTCGTATCAATGGAAACCTAAAAGTGATTAAGATTAATTTTAAATATTTATTATTTAATTTGATAATAGTAAAAAGGTAAGGTTTGGTTGTATGATTTTTTTTTTTTTTGCGCTTTTTCCATTGTTTTTTTTTATGATTAATAAAATGTTTCATCTATGAAAAAAAATTTTCTTTTTAAAGTAAATATTTTGCTTTTTTTTTTTTTGAAAAAAAAAAAAATATTATTGTAATACACAAGTGATGTAATTAATTGTAAATCGAATAAATATATATTAAAAAAGGAGCACAAAATAATACATTTTACGTCTAATATATTAAGAGTCCTTATTCAAAAAATAAGTGTTAAATTAAACTCTTGATAAGTGATTTGGAGCTTCATGGTATAAACTTTTTAATCTATATGCTTCCGATAATAGCAACTCAATATCTTGTTCTTTCCATTTAGCTGTTGGTAATGATTGTAAAAACATCATAATTCCCTATAAAAAGAAATAGTCAAGAATTTTTTTTTTTTTTAAAAGGAAAATTCTTCGAAAATATAATAAATACCTGGAAATCTCTTGTTTTTAATTCATCCGACCATTTATCTAGAAATGCTACGCAAACATATAAATGAAACACCGAAAATCCATCTGATCTTTCCGCCTATAATTTTTATAATTAATTTTTATGTAAGTAATTATAAAAGAATAATTATTTTCTTCGTATTTTGTATTCTTCTTACCAAATAAGTATCCCACATTCTAATTGTATGTTTTAAAGACATTTCACGCATTAACAGACAATTCATCCATCTAAAAGCAAATTGAAGGTATTCAACACCTTCCTTTTGCAAGTGAGCCGCAAGTGGTGCTATAAACAAAAATTTATTAATCCGAGAGTTTATGAATAAAATCTATCAAATTATATTTCTAAAATCGAAAACATACCATTTATTCTGTTAATCAAATCCTTTAATTTATTAATTTGCCTTTGTATACCAGGTTGTGCAAATGTATAATTATCCTATGAAATATGAGAAAGTGTTATAATGAATATAGTTTAAATTTATTATAATATTTTGATTCTTAACTTACCTGAATACCATCAAGTAACTTAGATAAACACCAAAAACTATCTGCCTCAATCACGTCTAAAACATTCTTTGGAAGACAACTGGTATCATAATTTTCTGGATTCTCATCTGCAATGGAAATTCGGATTAATTAAACGAAATTTAAAATCATCAAAATAAAATACCGACCAATATAGAAAGAAAGGAAAACTTGGAAGAATGGAGTAACAAGATCATTGATTCCCTGAACATATCCACTAGCAGGATGACGGATGGCCCATACATAAAGTACACGTTCCAAACACTAAAAAAGAAAAATTATTGATAAATCAACCAAAAATAAAAAGCTTGTTTAATTACTAACCTGCTGAGTAGTCTCACATTGATAAAGAATAGTACCAGGATTAGTCCGAGGTACATCAATATGAATTTGATGCCAAATTGTTTGATCCAATCCAGCAATACCTCTAGCATATGCTTGTGAGACACCTTCAAAATATTCTTGCCTTTTTCGAGCTAAAGTTTTAACCTGACGGTCAGCATTACAGGGAAGATATTCCTAATATTGTCGAAATAAAAAATAAATAAATAAAATTTTAAGTGAACGGTCAAAAAGTTTGTTTTTAAACGTACTAAAAGTAATTGCCATGTTATTGATCTTAGTTCGCTTGGCAACTCATTCGGTATGCCCAGCCAATTGAGATTTCTGAGTGCATCTATGTACAAAAAATATATTATATATCTAGTTTAATTAAATAACACTTATTCTTAAATATTTCCACATACCCAAATCGATATTTGCACTTTGCAATACATCTTTGAATTTGTTAAGACACCTTTCGAATCTCAACCTTTGTGTTTCATCTAGTCGACTGACAGTTGAGTCTGAGAGTTTCATCGAATCTATTGCCTTCATAGGATCTAAAAGATATAATTAATTTAATACTGTATAAAACAATCGGAAAAACTTTATATTTACCTTTAATTAGTAAATCGATATTAGGTTTAAGCCCAATAGAGCTTTTTTCAACGAGTGTTGATTGATCAGAACTTATTACTACTGACACTTTCTCATCATCAACTTCCTTTGTTTGAGATTCTTTAATACGATTGTGATCTCTTAATTTATCTATGGATGAATCTATTTCTGATATATCATCATTTGCATCAGAAGAAAATGCACTTCCGGATGGATTTGGAGATGGTTCACGACGAGGCGATTGTGGTGACTGAGATTGTAAGTATCTTTTATAAGTGGCTTTAGTAAGTATAAAACAAACTAAATTTTGTAAGATATAATTAATTGAATTCCATAGATACCTTAAACCATCAGAATTATTTATCGATACGGTTTGTCCATAAGAGTATGTTGCTCCAATTACCAATTTTGTAGCACCAGTTTTCGTTTCAACCGGTTTTACACTAAAAAAGTTTTATCATAAATATTTGCAATAGACCTTTGGAAGAAAAGTGATTAACAAATATGCAGTTACCTTCCTGGTAATGTAGAAGTATGTGGTCGCAAAAGGCTCCTTTAAAAAATACTAGTTAGAACGATGGATAAACTGTAAGAAAAAATAAAGAGAGAAAAATATATATATATATAAAATAAAAAATAAAATTGGAGAGAATGCATACTTTTTTGTGAAGTTAATATCGGCCATTTTCTCACATGTATTGGTGTTTAAAATAAAAATTCTTTCGCAAACGACAAAATTTAAGTTAATCACGTGGAATTTCACTTATGATAACATGTACCCAATCAATATATTTGCCGCCGCATTTCAATTTATTTCTTTAGTATCAAAAAAATGAATAATAATAAATCGTTGACTCCCGGTTCTCCATCACCTGCTACTCTTCATACTCCTCTGTCTAATCTCACTTCAAACGATCTTTCCACAAGTGCTCACTCCTGGGAGTATTTGCGGAAGCAAGCCCGACAATTTGAAAATGAACTTGAACAAAAACTTACTAGTTATTCTAAAATAGCAGCACAAGTTGGAAGAAGTGTGGGATATAGTAAAGAAGGTGAAGGTGCGACGGGAAATTCGAGCGAAGCCATGGAATTGGAATTAGAAGAATTAATCAAGAAGGTATCTTTTTTTTCTAAATTGATTCTCAATTTGAAAATAAATTTAATAAATATATATGTTTATTTTTTTAGCTTACTTCAGTTGTGAATTCTATGGCAGAAGTTGTGGATAGACCTTCAACAACACCAACAAATCCATCAATGATGCATATGCTTCAAAGACACAGAGATATTTTATATGATTATTCAAAAGAATTTAAAAAGACAAAAGTATGTAAGAAAAATTGGTTATATATAATTATTTAAAATACGAAATTTATATAATTCGATTTATAGGCAAATATACTGGCAGCAAAAAATCACTCTGATTTGTTAAATTCAGTTAGAGAAGATATCAGGCGAGTTGAATATTGAATATAAATTTTTAGACATAAAATAAGTAAAATAAGTATTCTTTATTAATTAAAGTTGCATTTTATAGCTCTTTCAAATCAGGAATAAGTAGTGAAACTGATTATTTTTTAGGTGAAAGAGGCAGAATAGAAAGTTCACATAGGATGACAGATATGATTATTGAGTAAGTTTTGATTTATTATTTATTAGATCAAAAGTAGTTTCAATCAATTGATATTTTTATTACAGACAAGCATATGAAACGAGAGAAGAAATTGGAAGACAAAGGAATATATTATTAAACATGAATAATCGAATGAACCGTTTAACAAGTACGTAAAAATAGCATTGGTTTTTTTTTGACATTTTAATTTATCTCTCTTTCTTTTCTTTAGACATGTTTCCTGGAATTAACAGTTTAATAGGTAGAATAAATTTACGAAAAAAGCGCGATACGATTATATTAGCTTTTATAATTTCTTTTTGTATTATTTTAATATTTTTATATATGAGACATACTTCAAGTTAATTCGTTGCTAAAGAACTATTTGATATATATCAAAAAAATTAAATTTTAGATAATAGACTAAATTAATACCATAATAATAATAATACATTGATTCGTTGATTAGTTAATATAATAACCTCAAAAAATAAATATATTTCCGATTATGGCTTACCATATGTACTACATACGTCATTATCTATATGTTGATTAGATCCCGTTTGCCAAAAAGAACCCAGACATGAAAAATTTTCGCTCTAATTCTTTGGTTTCTTGTGTTGGTTTTCTTGCTACCATAAAGAAAAAACCTTTCGTAAAATTTTCCTCCGCTTTATTAACTCAGCGTATAATGGCTACTAATACGAAAATCTCTAGCGACAATAAGCAACTTATTAAAAGATCTGATAAAATTGCACATTTTAAACAAGATGGTAATGCATATGAATTATATGTAAACTATCAAATAGAAATCTATTTCATATTTCTAAAATAATTATTTTAGTATGGTCTATTTTTACTCCCTTGGCTCAGCAATTCAATGCAGCGAATTTAGGGCAAGGCTTTATGGAGTATATATTTTCTTTGCAATATTATATTATGTATTATATTCGTGAAATTAACAAAATCTTTAAAGTTTTCCTCCACCAGATTTTGTAATAGAAGCTGCAAATAGAGCAATTAATAATCGGAATGATCATCAATATAGGTTAGATGTCGTCTTATGTCGACTAAAATTATAATCATCTAATTTTTATATACTTGCAGTCCTCCTAAGGGTCGAGCAAATCTAAAAAGTATTTTAGCGAAGTCATATAGTCCTTTGTTTAAACGAACATTAGATCCTGATTCAGAAATTCTTCCCACCGCGGGAGCAAATGAAGGTTTAAAATTTTTTTTATTCGTGGTTCATTAATTATAATATTATTTTTTGATTATGATAGTTTATTAAATTTATTGTTCTCCATAAAATAAAGGTTTATACGCAATCTTCGCTGCATTTTTGGATCCGGGAGATGAAGTTATTCTAATTGAACCATTTTTTGATCAATATATTGTAGGTATCTTGTCCTTTTAAGGTAAATTATATACTTACGCTCTTGTCCTACTATTTATCACATATTAGGCTAATATCACCATGAATGGTGGTGTTCCGGTCTATGTCCCGTTAAGGCCTATGGGTGACACAAATAAAATCATGTCATCAAGAGACTGGAAGTTAGACATTAATGAACTTCGATCAAAAATTACATCGAAAAGCAAAATCATTGTTTTTAACACTCCGCATAATCCTGTGGGCAAAGTCTTTTCAATAGAAGAAATGGCAGAAATAAATAAATTGGCCGAAGAATTTAATTTGATGATCATAAGTGATGAAGTGGTATGCGGATTTCAGATTTATTTTTATTTTATAAACGAAAATTTTTTAAGTCATTTATAATTTTACGTAAGTATGATCGACTCTATTATGATCCTGATGTTCATGAGCGAATTGCTAATCTTCCTGGTGCATGGGAACGTACCATCACCGTTGGCAGTGGTGGCAAAACTTTTGGCACGACTGGATGGCGCATTGGTTGGTTGATTGGACCAAAACACTTGATAGGAGCTGCCTTATCCGCACAGACCAGAATCGTCTTTTGTGTCAATACACCGCTTCAGGTATTTTAATGATTTACACATAATTTTATAATTTTATACTATTATAATGTTTATAACCATTTATGCTTATTTAATTAATTATACAGGAAGCACTTGCCATTTCATTTGATTTAGCTGAAACAAATAATTATTTTGAGAATACTATTGGAGAATATACACGTAGACGCGAAAAATTGATGAAAGCATTAACGGATGTTGGACTTCCCTATACTATTCCTCAAGGGAGTTATTTTATACTTGCAAATACTGCAAAAGTCAAGATTCCTGAAGATTATCCATATCCAGATGTTATTTTACAACGTCCTAGAGATTTTAAGGTATGTTACTGGATGGCAAAGGAAATTGGGGTAGTGGCGATTCCTCCAAGTGAGTTTTATTGTGAGGAAAATGCACATCTTGCTGAAAACTTTATTAGATTGGCATTTTGCAAAACTGATAAAACATTAGACGAAGCTGCTAAAAATTTACAAAAATTGAAGAAATATATCGAAGAATAATAAATTAATAAAATTTTTGGTCTAAAGTAATTGTTATGTGTTTCGGAAATATTAAAGTCCCATAAAATTCTCCTTAATATGTCCAAAATTACTTGTAAGCCGTAGAATTCCCCGATAAAAAATCGTTCATATTATTTTTTTTACTATAATTACTTATATAAAAGGCGACGTGCCCGAGTGGTCCAAGGGGCCAGGTTTAGGCCCTGGTATGGAAACATGCGTGGGTTCAAACCCCACCGTCGTCACATTCATTCAATATTTTATTTTTTTTATATGTAACGGGTAGTTACAGTTTTATGCAGTGTCATGTGCTTTTGCAAACTTGATCAAATAAACCATTTAAAAGTTTAATTAGAAACCAAAAAACACATTATGCACATTATATGAAAAAATTCAAATAAAATTAAATAAGAATAAAATTAAAATAAAATTATCTTGCAAAATATTTATAGATGTGATGTATAACAACATCATTTGAAAAATTTTGTCACAAACATTTACAAATTAAGATTTGGAAGATTCAATCTGAGAATATTTTTCTTGTATTATTATAATACGTCAGGATTTTTTGTGTTACGAATTTAACTTTTAAATACAGGTTTTTCCGTGATTATTTGCAAGATTAGAGATTAACTTTTTTGTGCGCAAAATTAAAGTTTAATATTCACTATAAACTTAATTTTATCGGTTAATCATAATAAACCCATTTTAAGCGACTAACACATTAATGATTTGTATGAACAAATAATATCATCAGAAATAAACATATATAGAATTTTTTCGCTTTCCCGCCAAATTGTTAATCTTAGACACTCATTTTAACTGGTACATACTGATTTTTACAGATTGATTAGAACACTGAAAGATTTACATAGTAAAATTCTTTATACGTATTCATTAAATATTTAATTGAATTGGGTACACATGTTGTTAAGATATACGGATAGGCCAGCATTTGATCGTCGAATGTGGGGTTGGTAAAGGAACGCCAACCCGCATCAAATAACTGCATAAACATCAAAATTTTTTCACACGAAAAATTCTTATGCAGTATTGTAACACAAAATTTTAAATTTACCTAATTAATTATATTATCTTCATTATATACAAAGGGGAAAATATTATATTGATATAACAGAGATTTTTTTTATTCAATTGTTCGTGATGTTTAATAATCTGCTTATTTCCAAAAAAGTATTGTTCAAAGCTTATTCCAAAAGAGAAAAGTAAAGTTAAAAAGGAAAATAATAGAAAAAAATGTTCGGAATCTTAGTTATTTTCAGTGTAAGTCAAAAGGTAAACATAATTGACTAAAACACGAGAAAATAATAAAGCTTATTTTTTGTTGTGTTCAAATTACTGAGCACAGCTTATACGATAATCCCCATCGTCGCCCTGTTTCGTGACAATCCACTTCAAGTGTTCAGGGTTAACCCATTGCTGCATATCTTCAGGCGAAATTTTGTCCATACCAATATATTGCAAAATATGCGCATCTTCAAGTATAGTGGGTTGATGAGGATGGAAAGTAAGGATTTGAGAAAACCTATAAAGTTGAATTTGATTTTATTTGATGCATGTAATTTAAATATTTGCATATTGTTAAAAAAGAAATATTTTTAACTTCTTTTACCCGTCTTGGCCATTTTGACATTCAATAGTTGTTCCTCGTGGACAATGTAACAACTTAAACGGAAGATGTAATTCTTTTTCAGATTTTAATTTGTTCGATACCCGATATGGGCTATGACGTTTATTTCTTTTCATGAGGTTGCGAATGTGAAGGTGCTATAAAATGAATATACATTGTTTGAACGTCGACAACATTGAATAAGTTGTTTTTAAGCTGTATGAAAATACGAATAAAATATTAACTTACTCGAGCTAATTTATCCTGGAAAGCGACTTTAGCTTCATCCACTTGTTTACACAAGCGTCGATTAAGTCGCTGAATATGTTATATATATAATGTTTATAAAATATTTCATGCGATTCCCACGACACATTTGCATTAATAACGCGTAAAAATCAAAACTCTTCTACAATTTACCTCCAGTTCTCGAAGTTCAGATTTTTGCCTTTCAATTTCAGCATCTGTCGTCGCAGACGACTTTGCTGAATTTGCACCATTTTTTTGACCTGGTAATCCTAACCACCTAATTTCTTTTTTATCTTTAGCTATAATGTCCATTGCCATCAATACATTTAAAGCATCATACACGCGACGTCTAATATTTTTTTGATCCACCTTTTGCTACATCGACAAATATAATATTGATCAACATATTGACGTAATGTTAAAATATCTTTGACAACATAATAGGGAAATAAATTGTAATACTCACCCCACTTCCATGTTCTGACATCTGGGCTGCAAAGTCTTCAGCAAGTTCATCTGCAACCTAATACATTAACAAATTGCAAGTTACTAGAGATGTTCACATATGTATTATAATACATCAAGTTATTTTGCATGAACGAAAAGTGATGAATATTCCTACAATCATATTTTCTTTTATTTATTAATTTATATTTTTATTCCTTTTTTTTCCTTTTTAAAAAAGCGCGTAATCCCTATAAGTACTCGTAAATCTATTTCGTCTTCTCATTACCTACCTCATTATAAGTTGTCATGCCTTTTAATTCCACTTTATCGCACACTTGCTTGCTAAAATGTCTAAGACCTTTGTTTTGTCGTAAAATTTGTTGTTGCGGAACTTGTTCACCTAACATGCTACCGGCATCACTACTGTCATTTGGTGTAATTGGAGAATCTTTAGATGATGAACTCATCGCGTTAGCCGCGGGCACAATGTGAAGCGAGGAAAGGCAGGGTGTAATTCCGCTGCTACGAAATTATTTGGGCCATGTTTTTTATGTGGAATGATATTTGGTTAGTATACGGTTTTGCCAAAAATAAAGACTGCTTAACAAATAAGTAAAAGAATAAAAGGCATGATAATAGAGCTCGTATTTCTCGACCATAAGATTCAACTCCCAGAAAGATCAGCAGGAGGGAGGGGAATAGAGCAGGAATTCTTTTAATTTTTTTTTATTTTTTTGATGAACGAAATATCTTCGTTTTCGCTCTCTCCTCTCAAATACTTTTCAGACTCACTCACTGCCTTTTTGTTTCGTTTTTATAAAGAGGGGGGCAACACTCACCTCTCTTGGCAAACATTATTGCAACTACCATTACTTTCATCACCTTCACTATCTCTATCCCCTTCCTCCCTCCTGTCATCAAATCTTGGTCGTTTAATATTGATCTGATCTATTTGTTGTCTATCCTTTCTATAATCATCGTCATTGCTTTGTAAAATTTGGGATAATGTTGAAGGTCTACGAAGCATCTGTTGCATAATAGTTTTTGCAGGTGGTGCTGTAGATAAATTCATATGACCAAGCTTTTGCTGTAGATTGAACTGTTGTTGATGAATATCCTGTTGAAGAGTGAACCTGTCTAAGGTAGAGGGCGCGCCATATTCCATGATATGATAATTAGGTTCACTACTACGTCTAATCTCAAGACGTGGTCTGGCGGAAACTAACGAGGGCGAATGACTCCCTCTAAGTTGGGGCGATACAGAAAATTGTAAACTATTATTTCCTGGTGTATTAAAGCCAGTAACTATATTGGTGGTCGTGTTGATTGGAGGAAGGATGTTGGGGCTAGTCTGGTTTTCAAACCCTTTTGAAATAAATCGTTGTTCTGTCGCTGCCGGCGAAGAAGTAGAATAAACTTGGAAATAAAATTTAGCTTGAGTGTTATTTGCACTTATAAGGTGAGCACGCGGGTCACTGGAATAAACACAATGTCGAGGTGGTGGTGGAGGCACAACTACACTAGGGGTGGGTGGTGCAGTATGCACTGGCGCGGAAAGATTTGGAGGAAATATAAAAGGTGGTGTGGTCATTTTCAAAATGTGCAGTTAAAATTCAAATTACGAAAAAAAAACCGAAAAAAAAATTGTAAAGGATAAAAAAAAAAATTTTTATTTTGCCAGAAATTTTAAATATAATGTTCAATTAATTTTTTATTTTTTTTCTTTTTTTTAATAATATTTATAGTTATTATAGTTATTTATATACACTCTCCCTTTATAAATCTATAAGGCGGGAAATTTTTGATAAAGTGTTCTTTAATAATTATGAACGCTTTAACAAGTAAAATAAAAGAATAATACGAAAATAATCAATACACGAGAAGCCATGAACTCGGCACGACTTCAAAATTTTTTTTTTTTAATATTATATGTATAAAGATGGATAATATATATATATATATAAAAAGAAAAAAAAGAAAAAAAACGGAAAGCGGATTTAAGAAGACCGAAAGATGAAGAAAGGGAGTGTTGTAATCAACATACCATGTATATCTTCAAATATGGTTAAAAAAACCCTAAAAAAAATTATCGATAGGAGAAAAAAAAATTAGAGTTGATGCGTTGATTTTGGTAAAACTTGGCGGGTTTATTTCAATTTTACAGTAATACTAAACTTTCACTGTATAAAAAAACCCGTTTAAATTGTCTGTGTGCCCTATTATGAAATTATATGATGATGCGACGAATTAACGATTTTATGAACGTTCTATTAAAAGTCTATGAATTGTGTGTTACTATTTAGTTCATATAGATTTTAGATTAGGGTTATTAACCCGCTAAACATAAAGGAATAAGTCACACAGATCAGGTTTATATTGTCGATTAAAATTATATGTGATTGTGCTGCAGGGGGGCTTATACAGCTCACTGCTAAACGTCAAACTTTTATTGCATTCACCCCTCTTTCCAATCAATTTTAAAAATTCAAAGTTATACCTTTTCTCCCCGCTTCTACCTTTATAACAAAGAACTTGAATACACTTCTCACATGCAAAAGCCCCATTCTCTCGTGAAATGTCCTTACTAACGGCTCTCTTTTCCCGTATCTGCGCTTCTCCACACAGACTTGCATAAGAAAAACAAGAAATACGGCGTCGGAAGAAAACTAAAACAGTTTATATTTTCTTTGAAAAAGTTTTATAAACAAAGAGTTTATCTTGTATAAAAGGCAGGAAACAAATTAAAAAATAGGCGCAATAACCCATTATACAAAGGATATTCGAATACTAATTGTTTAAAAAAAATTATCATATCTACGATTGTGAATCATAAATCCTTTTACGAACCAACCCTAGCCTAATTTGGTGTCATTCACCAAAGACTTTCCGGAGATGACCTTTTGTATTTTCTAATAATAAAATTTTTTTTTACGTTTCTTCGATCTTCTCTTTCCAAAATGCGGAGTCCGCATTCTTACCTCATATGATTGAAAGTAGAAGATTCATAATAGGAATAATTATTAAAAATAATGAAATAATAATAATAATGATTATTAAATATTTATAACCCTATACAAGTTTGCCCTCCCAAATTATTCAACTAGTGCACGAAATTAACTTGCAACATTTGTTAGTGGATTGGAGCTTGCGATTGAAGACCTGCCATTGACTACTTGCTTTGCCGATTTTGGTTGAGGTTTAGGTCTATGAGTATCCACCGCGTCGATATCAACTTTGTATTTGATTTCTGCACATCCGTATGCTTTTGGAGTTAATTTAATTATTGTATGTAGAGGAATCTTAATATATGGCAATTCGTCATGAGGATTGTTGTGGAAATATGCGTAGATGCATCTAAGAATAGCCTGATGTCCAATTATCAGAATATTTTGTTGTCTTTCAAGTTCCATTATCACTGGCTCCAATCGAAGGACAACATCTCGGTAAGACTCAAATTTGACAATATTACCAAAAAAAAGTGGATTATTAAAACAATGCAAGGTATTTGTTTTTATTGTTTCCGTTTTAATTTTGAAACGACGAAATTTTTTTTTTTAAAGAAAGAAAATAAATAAATAAATAAATAAGTAAATAAATAAATAAATAAATAAACAAATCCCTAACAATGAAACATATTGTATTCAAAATAAAAAAAAAATTTCTACCTCACCACCTCGATATCGGTAATTAAATTTATCATCATCTCGGTTAGCATAATCTTCAGGGTATTTTTTTTTTAAAAAAAAAAAAAAAAAATTCTGGAATTAAAAAATTAATATATAATGAAATATTAACCCAATTGGGATAACCTTCCATTTTCAATAAACTTTATTCAACAAAAAACTACGGTTAGACAGTCATAGGAATATTTAATTCGGTTCATTCAAAGCTTATATATGCCTATTTCATTATAAAGTTAGACAGAATCAACACACCTCAATTTCTTCATATGTCATTCCATCACAGACTCCTGCATCCAACTCATCTAATGCCTTCCATTGTAATTTTGGGTATGGCAGTTGTTCGGCGGTTTGTATTGTTCTCTTCATTGTGGATGTCCAGACCTGCAAGAATAAATAATAAAAATAATATCAATGGTCTATAGATAGATAAATTAATTGAATAATAAAATTGAGAACTAAACCTAAAAATAATAATGATGAAAATGTTTTCCACATACTGTCAATGGTTGGTCACCCAAATGTTCATGAATTAGTTTGGGTAATGCATTCGCATATTTGCGACCACGTGGTGATAGGTCGGAATCACCGCCAATTTTGCCCATTAGATTAAAGATGCTCTCTCCATGCTAATATCAAATAATGTATTTTGGTTAAAATTTTTTTTTACTGCCAAAAAAGCGTGTATGTCCAATTATTAGATAATTTCTTTAAATCTAGCAATACTGACCCTACTAAAGAAAATACTTCTAGGCAAAATGTGTAAATTCATCAAATAATAAACGATTCGACTCTGTAAGTACCCTTGAATCATATTAATCACGACTTGACTTCCAACATTGACGAGTTTGATATAAGTATAGTCGCTTTCCGTGATAGTTTCATATGCTTCTTTATAATGAGAAATTCTAGCACGAAAATCTTCAGCTGCTCTTTCAGGATCCATATCCTTATAATCGGGAGACGACAACTTTACTTCCATTATATTTTGCAAGATGAGATCCTCATCTTGACAGACTGACTCAATAAATATGACCTGAATATCATGTTTCTTACAATGATTTAAAAGGAAGGAACGTCTATCCCGAGTGGAATTTGTAGCATCAAATATGGCTACTGTACCGTTCTCATCTTCAAACCACCTTAACATGTCTTTAAGAGCTTCTGCTGCTGCTTCCTTACGCGCAATCTCGCCTGCCTCATTGCTGGGGTCGAAAAACGAATGCATCTGATGCGCACCGTGAAGTTTGCGACGATAATTGCCAACATTAAAAACTTTTGTCGAGACGCATAGCCATTGAAGATATCGGCATACTATCGATTAGGAAAAATGCAAACTTGAATACGAATTGAAAATAGTGCCTCATTATATGATCGAGAAGTTAATGAGTCATCAAATTAAAAACGATAATTTTAGTTATATCTACCTTTTTGCGCAATGTAAGTTTTACCACGAGCGGGAAGTCCCACCATCTATATGTAAAATAAAAGAATTAATACAAAGGAAAGCTAATTTGCACGTGTTATTTAATTTAAACAAAGACTGTAAAAAGTAAGAACGTTCGAAGTTTGAAACGTATTAAACATACCACGCAAGCGATCCGCGAATCTATAACAAAGGTACGAAAACATTTAGAGAAAATCAACCGATAACAAAAATTTACTAATAAACTCACTTGAACTCCTTGAACTCATAATTAACAGCCGTACGTATTAAGTCAATCAAAAAATAAATACTGAAGAACAAACGTTTATTTCTAAGTTAAGACTTTTTATTCTAAGCTGATATTTTATTGTACGATATAACACGCAGTGATTATCCAGTGTACAAATACGAGATTATCAACAAGTTAGCTAATCACAATAATGGTAAGGAATAATTATCAGTTTATTAGTTTTTGTTACATTTTTATATGATCTAATTAGGAAATGATGATTATGAGTGATATTCACACCTGAAAATATACATATATTTAATATTTATATTATTTTCTATAAAATAAAATATTAGTATAACTAACCTACTTTTTTTTATAATTCGCTCAAAGTAGAACCAGATAATCTATTAGTTTTATCTATACTTAAATTCCTTCCTGCTCGACTACTTGGTCTACTTAATCCTGTAGTTCCTGATATTACACTTGATGCCGATGACATATCAGTAGACGAATTATTATTAGGGTTTAAATTAGTGTTAATTGTAGGTAACGTAGTGTTTCTAGGTGATGTTGAAATTGGAAATGATGGGAAATTAAATGGTCTTGTGGATGATGATGTTTGATATCTTGATTGTTCAGTAGAAGATGTAGGACTTTTCGATAATATTGAATCCGTAATTTCATATTCAACGACTTTATCATCATGCTCATCTTCTATCCATCCTAAATTCGTAGTTGATTTTGATCCACGTCCTAGAGAATAATTTGGACTAGTATTACTTGATAGGGACATTCCAGAATCATTAAGATATCCTCCATTATTTGAACCTGGTTGCCCACCTAAACTTATACTACTAGCATTAGCATTAATCCCTGTACGATCCTTAAATTTTCCAAGATTTGTAAAGCTACTATTTCTTGATTGTAATCCAGTTAACGATAAATTAATTGGTGTTGAGAATCCTTTATCAATAACTTCATTAGGTATTACACTATCCCCACTTAGCCGTTTTTTGTAACGCGTTGAAGGGAATCCATAAGGTGGAAATTGTAATGTTTGTTCTGTAGGTGATGATCCTTTTTCTATAACAGGTGTAGCAGGTGTTTCAGTAATTGTAATTACTGAGTTTGAGCTAACATCAACAGATGGTGCTTGCCGAAAGTGTTTCATTTCTTCTTCATCATCACCTGATGATACAGTTAATGATACATCTTCGCTCGAATCTGCTCCTTTTTTAGTGAAAAATTTTCGAAATGGTGATGTTAATTGAAGAAGTTTCCATCTAAAATAACTTATAATTCTATTAAAATTGTTCACAATACGCCATGAAGAGAAACCTGCAGAAGGATATTGACCTCCTTCCAATCTCCCATAATCTGGTCCTCCATCTCTCGCCCCTCTTCGCATTGATGATAAAAAATGTAGAAATCCAATACTCATTCTTCTTCCCTTTCCAAGCCCATTCTTGCGTAAACATGTAAACCAAATAAAAATTAATAACATAGCTAAAACTGAAATTCCAATCATCCATTCTACTAAGTAATTATAATATCCAAATAAGCCATGACCTTGAGGTTGAGGAGGAGGATGTGGGTGTGGACCCCATAATAAAGGAATTGTACCTGATGCCTCCATAACCATTTTTCCTAAAGTCCAACTAACTTGTACATCATTAATATTATTAATACTTTGAAAAGGTGGAGCTTTCCTTACTTTATCTATTACTTTGTTATCAGAATTGATCACATGATCATCAATTGTCTTTGGAACTCCAATACCTTCATGCAACACGTTTACTATCCATGCTGCCTTAAAACATTGCATTTCCAATCTTGTTAAATCTATATCTTTACTCCATACATTTTTCTTATAAAAATCATCAACTATTTTATCCCATTCCCTCGCACAATAATCATTCGCTTTCCTCTCAAATTCCGAGAAATTCCAAATTCCACCCAATCCAAAAACATCTTGAGAAGAATACCAATATTCTGATATGCCTATGAAATGATTAACAGAAAAATCAATGTTTGGAGTGTGAACACCATTAAATAAACAAGGATCGTCTAAACAGGAAGCAGTTTTATTTAATAAAGGGTATGTAAGTTCAAGACATTGATTAAAAGAACCTGTCCCTTGAAGGGTATAATAAGGGGGTGGAAGTGATGTATCTGTAAGAAATAAATCAATAGGTAAGCAAGGGTCTTTAATTAGAATAGTTGGCTGTTCACGAGAGGATTCTGGATTAGCAATCTGTTCATGTGTTGCCATGTATTTTCGAGTTTGTTCTTCTATATATCGACGTCTTGCTTCATTTGTTCCAAATCCTAAAAATGTTGTGACAAATATATTATAGTCCATTCTTTTTCCATCTAAAGTATATAATGTAACTTTAGTTAAATCATCCGCATGTTTTTTTGATTCCAATGAATTTGGTTCAAAAGCTATTTGTGTACTAGCACCTCCCATGTCTAAGAATCCGTAAGTTGTGGTATGTTTAATTGTCTCAGAATCATCACTTTCACTACTAATGTGCTGTGGTTGAATATGTTCATTTCCACTGTCATTTTCAAATCCACTCATTAGATAATTAATTGCTATCCACCCATATATTCCTTCCCATTCTCCTGATATTACTTGCACATGATCTGAACATTTGTCAATTTTGAAAAGATAATTAAACATTATGTAATCACACGCATTTTGAAGAATTGCTTGTTGTTGAGATGATGGTAATAAACGCATTCCAGCAGTAGATAATAAATATATTGGTGTCTGTGATACTTCATCTGTTGGTACCACCTGTAATGTAAAATCTAATAATCTTTTCAAATGTAATTCTCCCACTTCCGTTGGATTTAATGCAAATGTAGATATCCCTAAAAATTAGATCAGATAAAGATTGCAAATTTTAATAAATATATATATATATATATTAATTTTCACTTTTCCACCTCTACGAAAAAGAGATCACACATCAGAAAAATTTAATCTTTATATTTAAAGTAGTATTTTTTTTCTAAATAAAAGTTGGGAAAGAAATGAAAAATGAAATTCTGGTTCCATACCCGGTTCAACCTTTAATTGCCATTTAAGTCCAAACTCATCTCCTCGTTCAATTCTTGGCAAGATGTGAAGCTCACTTTCATTTTTTCCTTGTCTAACAAATCCATGTTCTTTCCAAGAATAAATTTGTACTCTTGAACCAGAACTGCCAGCGTCTATGACAACTCCAAAATTTCTGTTAGACAGCCAAGAAGTCGTAGGTGGCATTGTTCGTCTTTATATTATATTAAAATTTAAAAGAATAATATACAATTATTAAATAAATATAGACTAGATTTTTCTTAAAACTTATAAAAGAGGATCGTTCCACCAGTTTATTAATGATCCTATCTGGGTTACACAGTGATAATTTTCAATTGTAGCACGAAATTTAAATTACGGAATTGATAAAGACAGTATCTTGAGGGCTTTGGAAAGAAAGAAAACAACGAAGGCTGTGAAGAACATAGTTATATATTGAATCAGATAATCTTCCGAGCGTCGTTACTCGTTCATCATAATTTATATTATTCGCCTCTTTTTTCACGCCACATTTCGTAAAATAACCACGAGAAAAATGGCATCACATTTTAATTGAGTAAATAAAGGTGGCTAAACCAAAATAGGAAAAAAACAAGCCACAAGAAACGAATTTTCCATTTAAAAAAATAAATAAATATAATCAAATATAGGACAAAAAATTTATTTGGTTTTCATATAACGTGTTGGATTCTAGCTATCAGAAGATAGCTCGTTTTTCATCTTTCGGTAGCGCTTCGCTAACATTATTTAAATAAGCCGCCAAAGGCTGTGACATTGCAGTGACAGGTCTTCCACTGAATAAAGCTTCGGTAACAACATCCGCCGTCAATTGCGATAACCTAAATTTTTTAAAGAAAAGAAAAAAAAAGAGGATTAATAAGATCTCAAAATAATTGATCTAAAATAAGGATAATTAGGTTACCATTGTTCTTGTTCAGATGAAAGTTTTGGTTCCTCCGAGCTATTCGTCATTTCCTTGATGGCATCGAAATGTAACTCAACACGGGATTTATATTTAATAAAATGTCCACCAGCTTGATTGAGACATTGCTAATAAAAAGCAAAATTGAATCAATAATCAAAATAACAATTATATCAAATAAATAGTAAATTAAAAATTACATATAGCAATGCGAGTTGATGTGCCATGTATTTGTGATTTGTGAGTTTTATATCTTGTTGAAGTTGCAATGAGATCGAAACAAGTTGATTTAGTACGTTCATCTCATGGAAATGTGCTATAATTTAAAAAAAATTCAAACATAAATAGATTAATTGATTAATTACTAAAAATTAGCAAATTACCTAAGGCATCAGCTTTTCCTGGGACTAGGTTGGGTACAACTAAACGCTTCGCAGACTTCGGAAATAATAACGCGAGTCCAAGTTCTGTGAGATAAGTCTATTATTGCAAGATAATATTTAATCAAATATAATTAAATTAATTATAATACATGTCGAGTCGAATCTTACTTGAACATCTTTCTTTGCTGATCCATCTTCCTCAAATTGCAATAACGAAGCCTCTAAAACGGCAATTGTGTTATCGATCTCAGTCTTGTTATATAGTTGCTAAAACAATAAAAAGATTACGTCGCAAACTAATATTATATTTCCAGAAAAGGCAATCATTCAGATGTATAGATTTAAAAAATATAAATATGCGAACACGTTTCTATTATTTGTATATCGTTCAGCAACCCCAACCCACTTTAAAAACATTACCAGTTAGGTAAATGGACTCGATTGCATTGAGATAACTGCCACATTCATCAAAGTCCGACCATTAAATTAATTTTTTTTTTTCGTTGTTTCTTGCAACACTATTTTTCAACGCACAAACCTGCTTCAAGTTCTGCACACCGGTTTCCGAACTTGCAAGCATTTCTTCTTTACTCAACAGCACTTCCAGCCTTGCTAACGCGTTTAAAACTTGTAATCCTATTCGTTTTTTACGAGAACCCGGTTTTATAATAAGTGGTTCATGTAAGCGTATTTCGACTAGGAAAAAAGAGAGGGAGGATCAATATACATATTAAGAGTCTTGTCTAGGTACTCATTTACGACAATACCTTCTGAAACAGTGTTAATTTTATTTAGGCTAACAAGTGGTGGCGTTGTCTTGAGTTTGCTCATTCTTAAAACAGAACAAAAATAAATTATCCTAGAAAATATTTTCTTAAATTCGAATAACGCCTTCACAGTGATAATCATAAATTTCTATTGGAGACTATCAATTTCTGATTTTCAGGATATTTATAGATATTTATAGTAAATGTACATTATAACATAAATACAAAATTCAAACTTTATTTTCATGTTGCATATAATCTTTTTTTTAATAATTTCTCTCTTAATAATTAAATTCTTTTTCTTGTGTAATGTCCCTTCACTTTCGAAACTTCAGGGGAAAAATGTCATAATAACAGGTGCTAGTACGGGAATTGGTGAGGAAATGGCATACATATGTGCCAAAAATGGAGCTAATATTGTAATAGCATCTCGTAGAACAGATCTTTTGGAAAAAGTTGCGTCTAAATGCAAAAACATATCACCAAATCGACTGATAAAGGTTATTACATGTGATCTTAAACATGAAAAAGATTGTGAAAAATTAATCAATTTATCAGTTGAATTCTTTAATGAAATTGACAATAAACCTGAAATAGATATGTTAATATTAAATCATGCAATGTCGTTATTTGAACATATGGATTTTAATAATCCAAAATTGATGATCGAAAAACTTAGAGATATAACGATGTCAAATTTAATTGGCTTTGCTACATTGTCTCATTTAACTATACCATATATGATTTCTAATAGTAGCAAAAGAGAATTTAAATCAATAATTGTACTATCCTCACTAATGTCCACAATTTCATTGGGAATGTCATGGGCATATTCCACTTCAAAAGCAGCAATTAATTCATATTTCTCTTCATTAAATGAAGAATTAGAATATCAAGAATTCCAAAATCAAATCAAGATTACTTTATGTCATTTAGGATCAATTAATACTATTACAATGAGAAGTCATACTGATAAATATTTTCCAAAATTATTAGTTGATTATATAGCTTTGAATGCTGAAGTAACTGCAAAAATTATCTTACAGAGTGGATTAAATGGGCAAAAAGAACTGTGGTATCCTAGTTATGGTATTTTACTTAGATATGCTTATGGAATTTTTCCGGGGATTATGAGAAAAATAGGTTTTTGTATTCAAAAATATCTCATAAAAAAGTAGAATTATTATGATTCAATAATTTCAAAATTTGTTGAAACTTTTTTCAATAAATGCTCTCCATACACAACCGGCTCATGATGTTTTACCGGATCAATTTGTAAACATGCTTCAAGTGGTTCGATTTTGGCATCGTAATTTGGCTCATAAAAGAACGGAACACTTAAATTTTAAAAGAAATATGAGAAAATTGTTTTAACGTAATAAAGCATTATAGAAAGATAAAATACTTACGATACACGATAACTATCACCCTTGTGAATAACTCTATGAAGAGTACTTTTATATATATCATTCGTCCAAATCTACGTCATATTATTAATTTATTATTAACAGTAACAAGAAAGAAAGTCATATAACAGTTTTTAATTACATTCAGCATGTCACCGATGTTCACTACAAAGGAACCATATAGTGGATCCGCATTAATCCAATTGCCATCTTTTGTTTGAACTTGTAAAGCTTCTTTAGTGTTATCCTTTATAAATTAAAAGTCGCATTATATTATAAATATCGATTGTAAAAGTAAATAAAATGTACTTGCCTGATTAAGAAAGGTTAAACAACTTATTTTTTTTTTAAAAAAAAAAGAGGTAAATAATTTAAACAAATTTTATGAAAAAAGTTCCGTATCTTCATACGTGCTTACCCATAATCTTTAACCATTCGTTAAAAAGAAAAATAATTTTTTTTTTTAATATATGAAACAATGATCAATACGTTCAATATTATTAATGTATCACCTGTGTGTTCACCGCAGCTAACACCTACGCGATCCTTGTCGGCTATATTCTTAAGATCTGGATATCCAATGACTCTCATAACCCTTTATTTGGCATATCAGTTAGTGTCACATGATTTAACAAATAAGTATGAAAATAACGCACCAAAAAGACTCCTCTAAAAACTTTTCAAAATAATTTTCATCCAATCCTAAACCTAATGCAATAGCACTCATTACTAGAGCACCCAGTTTCAACATATAATCTATATATTCACTAAATACTGCACGAAATTCTGAAGGATTCTCAGGCCATTGATTTTCACCTCTTAAAGGGAGGTTTTTTAAAACCAACGGATGCGTACGAGGTATTGGTTTATAGAAATCAAGCGCCTATACATTCTAGAGTTAATTATAATTATATCATTAATTATCGATAACACAACGAATTACCTCATGCCAATCCTTTTTATATCTTGTAACATTCTCACCAAGTCTTTGATATCCCCTTTAAATAAAAAAAATGATTTAATTAATGTTATGTTATTTGGAAAATTAAATCAATGAAATTGATTTTATTTTTCTTGTTAATAAATTACCTTGCATAATCTTCATTGGCTATGCTATATTTAATTTTTTCTTCTTCTGGTAAATGAAAAAATTCATAACCCAATTTCAATACTTTATCAATAATTTCTTGAGGTACATTATGACCTATCAGATAGAAAAACCCAACATTACGGCATGCTTCGTAGATTTGTTTAGCTATTTTAAGTTTTTCTGTTCGAGAATTTGAATCAATGGTGAATGCAGAAATGTCAATAATCGGAAGTTTGAATTCATACGACATTTTTTTAAAAAATAAGAGAAGATAGGATTTAAATTTTTTTTTTTAAAATAAAAAAATTTACCTTATCAACGTGGTTTTCATATGTTACATATGATACTAAAAAAGATCGACAATTTAGTCCATATATAGAATCATTCTAAATTCTCAGGATCAGCTGATCCAAAAATTTTATATTTTACTGCGGAAACCCTCTCAAAGTTAAAGTTACTCTATGCAGTCTGTGCGTTCCTGCTGAAGTAATTTTCCCGCCAAATTTTTGTTAGACATTACACTAACGTCATTTATAGCGCGTAAAACGTTACCGTACAATCTAAGCTGATATGATAAGATACTTTGTTTGTTTTTTACAAATTACCTATCGCACATGTACAATTCCCTTGGTTAGAATCTGGGGATATGGTATTTATAGTTAATTTTTTTATCTAATCTTAATCTTTTTAGATTTTCTTCTTATCTTTTATCATTTGATCTAAAAATAATACTTTGTATTTTATTCGGTCTTTGGTAAATAATAAATCTCATTGGGTTCAATGAATTATTTAATTCTCGGAGACTGTTATCCGTAAATAAACCAAATATGCTTGATATTTTTTCCGCAGTGATGATCGATTCTTTGATGAATACCTGATGAATGGTTTGATGAACTGTATAAATGAAAGTGAAAATCATACTAAGATAAGAATGTCAATCTTATCAGATAAGAATGTATCTGGGGTGAATATTTTTTTTTATTTTTTTTTTGACAGCTGCAAATGCAAATTTGAATATATATTCTGATCCTTTAAAAGGGAATATAAATTGTAAGAATTAGTTTTTTCCTAGTCATTGAAAAATCCGGCGACTAATAAAAAAAAAACAGATTCATCGCATCAAAAGTTTATCATCAATCTTATCAACTAATTCACAAAGCTATGTTTCATTAGGAAAAGTTTTAGTTGCATTATTATTGTATGTTTGTATGTTTTTTTGAAATTTTTCGCCTTTCTTTCAACCCCCTTTTTATATTTGATTTAGGTCTAAGTTTTTTTTCCTATTTATTTCGAATGTATTTCCTAAAATTTGTTTCTCCATTTAATTTATATCTGTATACTCGACATTTTTTTTGACTCTTACGTTCCTTCTTCAATATTAAATATTAAAAAAAAAAAAAAAAAAAAAAAAATGAGTTCAATTTTTGAAATAAAATTAGGAGAACCACGGCCAAAAACAAGTTGGGTATGGCCATATTTTGAAGTAAAGACTTTACAAGATGGAGAAAGTGTAGCGACTTGTAATATTTGTAATAAAACTTTTAAACATGGTGGATCCACTTCAAATTTAATAAATCATCTGGCTAAAACTCATAAAGTTTTTAAACCTGATAATAATAATTACAATAATTCAAGTGGCAGTGGGCTTAATAACAATAATAAAAGAGGAAGTTATAGTAGTGTTAGCGGTGTTAATGAATTTTCAAGTAATTTTGGAGGTGAATTTGTAGCTCAAGTTAATACTATTTATGATCCTAATCAACAACAACAAAATTATCCATTATTACCACAATATCCTTTAGAGGAAGAAATGTTACATCATCATCCTCATGTGGTAGATGGTGATATAAATGTTAGAAAAATTAAACATCAAAAATTAATTCAAAATCATCCGTTGGAATTTTTATTTGGAACTTGGTATGGACAAGGTAGTGGCAGATTCGAAGGTATTAATGACTTTATTTATAATGAAGAAATTACCATTTACCCCGATGAAGCTGGTAGAGGTTGGTTATATTATAAGTAAGGGAATTTTTTTTTCTCTACTTTATGGCTTTAAAGAAACTTCTCTCATATAGTATTTTTTTTTTTCTTACAGGCAGAGAACGTGGAATCCTATGAAAAACAATTCAAATTTTCATAGCGAAATGGGATATATTAGAACGCCTGGAATGAGCGATAAAGTTGAATTAGTTTTGGCTCAACCAACTGGTAATTTTTATTTTTTTGATTATTTTAAAGAATTCTGTATATTGGAAGTGAAATTTTAAAATTTTTCTTTTATTAAGGAATCGCTTCAATCGAAGAAGGTAGGATTGATGGTACCACAATTATGTTTAGATCAACCAATATCTCAAGATCCGCCACTGCTAAGGTTATTTATTTATTAGGATTATTCAATTTTAATCAATTATTAATTATTAATTGTATTTTATCAATCTATCAATTTTTAGCCTCCTCATGTTGTAGAGTACACTCGGTAAACTTTTTTTTTTAAATTATTTTAATCCAAATATTTTCTTGCATTTTAACCCACTTATTTTTATAAAAGGACTTGGATGGTAGATCCTATAAACGACACAATGACATATGTATTTAATATGTCAACACAAAGTAAGCAAATGGCTCAACATCTTAATGCCACCTTAAGAAGAGTTTCTTTCTTAAACAATAATCTCTGATTAAATTCTAATTAAGCATTATTCATATATTAAGAGAAGTAAAAAGAAATAAAGGTCAATGCAGTAATGTATTAATAAGGTTAAATTAATAATAAAAAAAAAAATCTAAGGCTAATATTATTTATAAAATATATGATTTAATAATTTTATGAAATAATACAGTTATGGTTAGGCTAGTTAGAATAAAAATAATCCAATGAAATTTGTAACTAAGAATTAAATAAATTAGCGAATCTTTTTCATCTTTATATCGACTGAGAAATTACGAAGTAATTCCGACCAATTGTATAATTTTATATTATAAATGCGAATTATGTATACTATCTTCTGTTAAGTGTATTGACGTTCCACGATTTCTTTTAAGTTGATTTACTCATGATTTATGACAGGTTGATTGATTATTTCTATTCTAAAATTTAATATAATTCATCTTCAACATTGAAATACCACATATACAATACCCAACATACTATAATACTAATCCATCTCCACATTCCCATTCCTGAATCCAAATATTCATAATGATAAAGTAAAAGATGGGTATATACTGCAATAATGATCGGTGTAGTTAACGATATAATGAAATTAAAGATTTTTTGGCTCTATTTTAAATTAATAATAAATAATATATCAATACATAGAGCAATTCGATACGGAACGAAAATCTAATGTTCATACCATTAAGTCTTCTTCATTTTGATTCTCTGCAATAATAATATTTAGGTAGTAAAATGCACTGATAACTATACCTGTACGATATATGAGTGCCATAAATACATTTAAAGACAAAGCTTTTTGAATTGCCGTTACCGTTCGAAATCTTTCCACAAAATTCAACAAATTATTTGCAATAAATTGCGCATTTATATTCACCTTCAAACTATAATAGTGTGAATAGCTTATATTAGTTTATTTTCTATGACCTCAAGAATATAATAATTAATATATATTAAATTACTCTCTGATATAATCTATGATTGCTTTTGCATCAAAATTCTGAAAGAGATTTGGGGAAATATTATCTTTATTAATCAATAACTGAAGATCTTGTGGAGGTACACTAGGTTTCCAATTTAACGATAACATATATATACAATAAATATTATATGCAAACTAAAATGATAAGATTGATTAGATAATTAATGTATGAAATAAAAAAAACGAGAACAAATTATTTTTACCAAAAGAGATAAATCCGGCAAAAGTGGCTTTGCATATTCTGTGTTATTTACGGCTAATGATACTGTGATTACAACGGCTAATGTCATAATAGATCCAATTAATGTCGCGTTATATATATCCATTCCTGGCGTAGTATATAAGCTATAAAGAATATAACTAGATATAACATAATTAACTAATGATATTATAGAAATATATATCTATGAATATAAAAAAAAATTTAATAAATCGTAAGATATATTTTAGATAATTTTTTTAACTAATGTACCTGTATTCTCTCGTCTTGTTCCAAAAGTTGTTTGACTTTATCTCTACATATAATAATAGCTGTTGCTGTAGCAGCTCCCTCAATAATTGTGAATATTGGCGATGAATATATCAAAAACATTTCATAAAAATTCAATAAAGCTTGCGTTTGATCCGTATAAATAAATCGAAGTGAATGGATAAAGAAATACGGAAAGAAGAAGGGTTGTGATATTGTTAAGAGTTGTGACTGTGAAAAAAAGATAAAACAAAAATTATTGTTAAAGTAAATAAATAGAGAAATTCTAAAAGAACACTTACTATGATCCAGCCTAACCCTCGTTTTTCCGAATACAACATTTTCATTAAACCTAAAAGAGTGTGGTATGAAAATAATGCGAATGACACAGCCAAACCAGCTGTTCTTCCTCCTATGTCAAATGCAATAGGCAATAAAAACAAAACCAATATATGATTTGCTCCGTTGAAAAATGAAAGCATCATAATGTTTCGATTTAAGAGCGACGCGTTTTCGTTTATCTATGGTATTTCCACAGATCATCTCAAATATTCACCTTCACGTTACTCGTGTGGCGCCCTTTATATTTAGACCCCTGTCTTAATCATGTTTAATTTTGCGTAGGTTCCCAGACTATACAGTGCCTGGAAATAAGTCAGTAAGCACGTGACTGTAGATCATTTATTTGTTTAACTTTAAAACCAGTTTTGTCGATCATTTTATTATAAATTTGTCTCCAATTTTTTCCCATGCGTTGTTTAGAACCTTCTTTAACTACTATGTCTTGCAAACGAAGAGAACTTACAATTTTTGAACGTGGAGAAGTCATTGGAGCTTGGAAANTTTTGCAATATAGATGTGAGTAATGATCAAATTCCTTATATACCTTATATCTATGCTTTCATCTCCTAAATATATACCATTTTTTAAAGTAGTTCTACTTTAGCAAAACGTCTTTCAGCTCCTTATAAGCTGCACTATTTTAATTATTTGGTAAGAAATTTGGCATGATATATATAGTTATAAAAATTATTGTATAACCAAAATTTCATTTACCTAATTTTGACATTCTGAATACTATGCATTTAGAATAATAACTAGTGTTCTGAATGGGTTAGGTCAATTCAGATGACCCGTCAGGTTGACCTGAAAATTTTGGGTCAGGTTATCAAATTCATGACTTGACCTCAAGTCAGATCACAGTTTGACCCAACCTGTTAACCTGTTTGACCTGACATAATATTTCTAGTCAGATGGATCAAATATGTAACAAAAATGCTGAAAACATTTTTTTATTGCATTACTATTAAGAAAAAATGTTTCAGCATTTTTTCATATAAAAAAATGCCAAAATGTTTTTTTTTGTATTAATTATATTATAAAAAAAACGTTTTAGCATTTTTTCATATAAAATTACTAGAAAAAAATACCGAAACGTTTTTTTTGTATTAATTATTATAGAAAAAACATTTTGGCATTTTTCATATAAAATTATTAAAAAAAATGCCAAAACGTTTTTTTTTGCATTACTATTAAGAAAATCGTTTTGGCATTTTTTCATATAAAATTATTAAAAAAAACACTAAAACGTTTTTTTTGCATTATTATTAAGAAAAATGTTTTGACGTTTTTTCATATAAAATTTAAAAAAAAAATGCCAAAATGTTTTTTTTTATATTAATTATTAAGAAAAAACATTTTGGCATTTTTTCATGTAAATTATATTAAAAAAAATGCCAAAAACGTTTTTTTTTGTATTAGTTGTTAAGAAAAAATGTTTCGGTATTTTTTCATATAAAATTATTAAAAAAAAATACCGAAAATGGCATTTTTTTATGTAAAATTATAAAAAAAAATGTCCAAAATATTTTTTTTGTATTAATTATTAAGAAAAAACGTTTCAGTATTTTTTCATATAATAAATATTAAAAAAATGCTGAAATATTACTTTTTTAACAGAAAAACATCAAGTTTAGCGTATTTTGTTTTTTTTTTAACTAAAAAACGTCAGATTTAACATTTTTCATTAAAAAAAAAACTTTTCTTTAACTAAAAACATCGGGTTTGATATTTTCAATTAAAAACCTTGGTTTTTTTATTTTTTTAATCATTTTTGATACACAGGTTAAACAGGTTAATGGGTTAGGTCGGGTAAGACAGGTTACCTGACTCGACCTGACCTGATCTATTTGGAATACTAATAATAACTGCACATTTTTTTAAGTGATTATACTTCTCTACGAATTAAAACTTAGAATGCTAAAATATTATGGCATAGATGCTGAAACTGAATTAACGTAACTGTAATTATTTTTATAGGCGTAATGTAATTTGATGGACATATGTATTATAACAGACGTATTGCATTATGATAGATGTATTATATTTTAACAGATATATTGTATTTTAACAAGAGAAAATTTATATTCCGCCCCCCGTGATTTCTTTAAACATCACTTTATGGGTGCGAAACCAATAAATATCATCTTATAAAAAAATATATTCCGGTGATGCAATAAAATATCACTTTATTAAAATTATTAAAATTTATACATATTATTAAAGATTTTATTATACAAGATAATTAATTGCTTACACGTTCCTTAAGTTTGTTATTTTTATGATATGCTGCATTATGACCAGCCTGACCACATATACGACATTTATAAGTATTTCAGCTTGAAGATCCACCATTTGCATTACGATCACTTTTTTCAATTTTAACACTACTTTTGAACTGTTTTGTTAGAGGCCGACCTTTTGTTTTTATTTTTAATAGATTTTGAATGTTTTTAAGTTCATGATGTTCATATTCTTCATTATTAATTGGTGTATTATTATCTGATTGCTCTTCTTGAATGTTATCATCATTATTTATCAAATTTAATCCTCTTTGTCTTTTTCTCTTATTAATATATTCTTTTAATAGAACTTCCATTTCATTGTCATTAGATTCCAAAGCAAGTAAAGTAGCTTCCCGAGCCATTCCCCATAACCTCCCATATTTTGTCTTTTTATCAATAGCTTTCTTTAAAATTGAAGCACATTTTGGAATAGTGATTTCTTTGCGTAATAGAAGAATATTATCTGAATCAGTATTATTAATAGTTTCTTTTTCATATGCGAACACTAAATTATTTTCTTGAGATAAGTCCATTCCTTGATAAGCATCTTGATACCATCTTTCTGGGATCATTAAAATATGAAAACCTGCAATTTTTGAAGACATCATTATGTGAAAATAATGACAGCAAATAACCCCCTTTGAAATTGTAGTTAAACATGAACATAAAAAAGAGATTTCATTAGAAATTGCAATGTAATGAAAAAACGTCTCTTTTCAGGTCAGATATCACAAATTTTCCAGATCTCCTTAATATCCTCTTTACCAATCTCATCAATAATTGATTGTAATTTAATCATCTGTACATTATAGTTATCTTCAATAAACCCGACATGTTCTTCCATTTTCTAAAAAAAAAAAAAGAAATATGATTAATGCATTATGAACTATAACAAATAAAACCTTAACATTCACCATAATCCAAACCCTAATCCTAATCCTATCTAATCCTAATCCTAATCCTAACCCTAATCCTAATCCTAATCCTAATCTAAATTCTAACTTTTTAATTCCAACTCCTAACTCTAAAAATTACTTACTTGATCTTGAATAAAATCTACTTCAGAAAAAGAAATTATGGTTACTTGAAGATATAATAAACATTGTAACATTTCTTCTTTAATAGTAGTTGCTATATTTATTATTAAATACTTTTCTAATATCTCAGTTATTGAAGGAAAAAGATCATCTCCCGTTGATAATAAAATTGAATTTGTAGTTGCAGATCTCTTCCATTGAAGTTCTGAAGTAAGCCTTTCGGATAAACTATCAACAAGATGACATAAGGTTGAATTGCTTCTGACTGTTTTTTTAATAATTGCATTCATTCCTTCAACTCGTGAAGTAGATTCAATACCAGCTGTAAATATTTTTCGCAAGTAACAGTGTGCCTATGATTTCTTTGATGGCCATAGTACTCTAAGAAGATAATCTTTAGCTAATGGGAATTTTTCTAGTAAATCATTCCATCGTGCAATAAATAAAGCTTCACACAGACTATTACGACATTTGTAAAAGTTTTTAATAAAGTCACTATAATGTTGTCCTAATTTGCCTTTCAAATTTTTTGGTAAATTTTGTTCAATATGGTATATACAATGTGCATGATAACTATTTGGAAATTGAACAGGTATAGCAGTATCCATAGCTGGGTCGGCATCAATAAAAAATACTAAAGGTTGTTTTTCAGTAGCTTGCAATACACATTGTAATATCCATTGGTAAGTTTCAAATATTTCATTGCTAATAACAGCTTGTGCAAGTAATCTTGTACGTCCATTATTATCCACACCAACAAATACACTTAAAGGCATACTATATATATTTGTTTTTGCCGTATTATCATTGATGATAATGTCATGATATTTGATCCAGAGTACAACTTGTTCAGGAGTCATCCAAAACAGACGGGTAAGCCGATTATCATTATCAAGTTCAAATTTAACAAAGAACTGAGGATCCTCCTGCTTCTTTTGGACAAGATTGATAAGAAGATCAGATGCATCATTATGCATATTACTACGATCAAGTGACTTGAACTTTTGTATGGCATTTGACAGGTCTGAATCTGAACAATTCATTTTTGGAAATCTTGCTTTTAGAAGATTTCGTTGTAAAGTAATTGAAAGATTACCATATCTGGTCATTATTTCAATTTCGTCTATCATTTCTTTTGTAAATTTTCTATATTTGCTACTAAATTCAAAAGCATCTGGTCTTAATTCATGATTATGTTGATTTGCAAATAAACTAACGGTAATACAAGTAGCACGTTCTGGAAAAGTAAAATTTATATGCCAAGGACATTGACATTTTTTAGTTCTAATATTCCGCTGTTTTCCTGCTTGCAAAGCAGATTCTAATTTTTTTGATTTAAATTTACCACCAAATTCACATACAAATGTCCTTTTTGTAATTAATTGCATAGATCTGTTTTTTTCCATACGATATTTAGTTATTGCAAATCCATTACTTTGGCCATAATCTTTTAGAAAATCTTCCACTTCTTCCCAGGAAAGGAAAGTTGTATCAAGGCTGATATCCTCACTAGCAATTTTCACTCGTGTTTCATCAGTATCTAGTTGATCTTGGATGTTATCAGGAATTTTATCATTAATATTTTCATTTTCATCTTTACCAATAGTAATAACAGGATTATTGGAAATATCATCATTAGTGAGAATAGGGGTATTAGAAATGTCTTTAGACACGAAAAGTATGTTATGACGATGTAATAATTCCATAACTAAAGAGAAAGTTACAGAAAGGTGAAAGTCTTACGTGAAATAAAGGTGCTTACACGAAAAGAATAAGGTTTACAAAAAAAAAAGGTAAAAAGTTTCGTAAAAAGGAGAGTTTTACATGGAAAAAAAGGTAAAAAAGGAAAAAAGTTTCGTAAAAAGGAAAGTTTCGCAAGGAGTAAATAAATCAAATCAGTTTATTACATAATCACATCAGCGATTTAATTAGTAATCATCGCCTAATAATAATTTTTTGAGAGAGTGATGCATGATAAATTTTACATGGTAATACAATATATTTATTATAAAGCAGTATATAAAACTATCGCACCCTACGATATTTACATTTATTCAATAAATTATACCATTGATTGCACTTTATTAAAATCATTAACTTATTTACTTCAAATAATTTTTTATCAAATTATAAATCTTATCGCAAATCAATTATAAGTTTATAACATATATAAAAGCAGTACGAAAAAATTTATTATATATAAAACTACTACTTAGAAAAAAACTATTACAAATTGCCTATTTTAAATAAAAACAAAAAAAAAATACTACTGTAATTACTAATTACTGCGTTTCATTTTCTTTAGTGCTATTAACTTTAGCAAGGATATCATCTACATTAAATTCCATTTTACCATGATCAATTTTTTCAGGTTCCATTTCTTTTTCAGTATGATTTAATTTAATCAAATTACCTACTATTAAATCTAAATCATCTTCGGTTAATTGATCATTATTTCCTTCTTCATCTGGAACCAAATTTTCAAAAGGATCATTATCATTTTCTATTTCATTAAGAATCTGAAGTAAGTGAATTAGTATAACTTTGCATTATTTCACTAAAAGTGTTATCAGATAGATTTTTGCCAACATAATTAAGTTCTTATTGTGCATTTAAAATATAAAATGAATGCAATCTTGCCATATTGGATACTTTTTCCACCTTAAGTCTAAATAAAAATAAAAAAGAATTTAATAAAAAAATATAAATTTTAATAAAATAAAATATTCTATAAATATACCTGCTTTGTCTTTTTTAGATAAACCAATTTAATACTGAGAAAACATGCTCACAATTTGCATTATAAGGAATAATAGAAAGTATATACAAAAGGTGATCAATATTATATAGACATTTAAAGATATTTGGATATTTAGTGATTAAAATTTCATAATTTTACATTCATTTGATTTGTCTCATTAAGAGGATTCAATATCATCTTTACATCATCAATATTCAGTGTATACTTCTCCGCTAATTAATTACGTCGTATTTCGGCGAACGGAACAATTCACTATTTATTATAAAATTACTATGAATTAATTACGTCTGTCAAAATACATTACGTCTGTCAAAATAAATTTAATTAGTATTTTGTCATTTTGACGAAAAGTATAATTCAGTGTACAATTATGCTTTAAATATTTAGATATATTCGTATGAATATCTTTTGATCTAATGATTGGATTTTCATGATCTTTAGCTCATTGTATTCATCTCATTGAGACGTTTTAAATGATAGCAAATATATATTAATCAGATTAATAATGACTAAATTATAGTATTTTTATAATTTTTAGCTTATTATTATGCTTATTATATAAAATTAAAATATAGAATTTTTACAACGAGCATTTTCATATTCCCAAAAAATTCTGAAAAATATAAAAATATAAAAGTTGTTTATTATGACTGTAAGTACAGAATAATGTTTAATTTATATTACATTAATATATAATGTTCAGTATAATTTGGTAAAATAAAAGTGTCCACATATTTTTAATTACCCTTTATATAAAATTAATTCTTGCAAATAATGATTTGATTATTTATATCCTAACTACTATGATTAAGGAGTTTAAAGTTCGTTAATATAAGGAAAATTATAAGGAGACTTAAAATTATCATAATTATTTATTTGTATAGCAAATATAAATGCTGATTTTAATCTTCTGCTTATTTTTGACTATAGGGCTAAAGCTTTTCTTTGAATTAATTTATAGGTTTCAGATATAAATCCTTTTTTACAAAATTTTAAATGCAAAAAATATGCTAATAAATATAATTCATAATCAAACTGCTTTCATCTATTATTATAAAATTAAATGCATTTTTGCCAAAACTCTTTTAATTCTTCAGTACTTTCAGTAGATAAAACCTTGATAGCAGTAGCTATTTAAATAAAAACTAAAAAAACATTAGCTATAGTTGTATTTTTACCTTCAATACTCTTCACAGCATTTTTTGCAGGTTTCAAAATAATTGCAAAATTTTCAATATTCAACCAAAAATTTTAATTAATTACTAAATTTCATAAAGTTTGATATATTACTTTAAAAATATAATTATAAAATATTAATAATTTAACATTAATTTAAAATTTAACTACAATTTCACTTACATTCTTTACTAAAAATGAAAAATACTACAAAAATACATTTAATACATCAAAATGCTTTTATTATATTTTTATTATTATTTTGTAACTATATTGTATCTAGGTCTATAAAAATAACTCAAAATAATATCACAATAATTTTTTAATGTTTTTGTTATTATTTTATTATTATAATATAATTAACTTTGATATTATTTTAATATTTTAATCTCAAAAATACCTCAAATATATTTTGATATATTTTAAAAATTTTACAAAATAATTGCACAATTGTTTTGAAAGCCATTGTATCTAGGTCTATAAAAATATTTCAAAAAATTGGCCATTTTTAGTAAAGTTTTTAAAAATAGTTTCTAAACATAATATTGATGTACAGTAATCTCAAGCAGTATTCCATTTTGTTTTAACAGAACTTTTTAATCTATTTTCAACAATTAACTTTTTTTTAATTTCTTTACAAAGAGTAGCTTCAGATTAATGTGACTTAGTAAAATAAGTAACAAATTTCTGATAATTAATAAATATATTATTTGCAAATAGAATTTTTTTTCATAATATTAGTACAAATTAATTGTATGTGATGAGCAATGCAACAGATTGGCAAAATTTTAGGATATTCTTCAAATATTAATCTCTTAGCTAATTGTATAGCACTAACACCATCTGGCACTACTGAAGAAAAATGCTATAGGCCTATATCTTTAAGAATTTTCTTTATTTCTTTTGCCATAAAAAGACCAGTATAAAAGTTTTTTGAACAACTTTTAACTTTATTTACATATTCTTTTCATTCAGAAATAATTACAATAAAAAAAAATAAGCTGTTCAACACTTAATATTATATAAAAATAATATTAATATTTATTGGAGATATTATAATAAAAAAAAAAATTATTTACTAAGTAAAAGATTTTTTTAAATATTTTTTTAATATCAATAGTAATTCTTGCCATTTTATTACTAAGCCAAATATTACTTAATGTTTTCCTGTCTGGTAATTGATAACTAGCACATACAAAATCAATAAAGAATGAATTTTCTACAGTAAAAAAAGGGATATTATAGCATACAAACAATCTAATCAATGCTCTATTACAAAGATATTGTTGTCTAAAATCTATTACTGATTTTTATAATTTAAATGTGATTTTTAGTTGAATTTCAGTTGCAATTTCTTTATTAAGTTTTCACTTCTTTGTAATAATTTGACAAGAAAATTATTCATTATTTTATATAAGAATTCTGAGTTATTATTTTTTAATTAAAGCTTCAACTTTTTTACATTGTAATTATATCTGGAATTCTGAGTATCATCACAATATATATAAGTATTAAGTAAATAGCCAAATTTTCTAGCTTCTTCTTTGATAAAATAATTCTATACATTATTTTTTTTTGCCAGCCTTCTTGAATTCTTTAGTTTTTAGAAAATCTGATAATTCTACAAAATTTAAATCTTGAAAAAATCTTGTTTTATCAAGAAAATCTGTTTTATTAGCCATAATTTCTTTTTTAGTTAACTTTTGTAATAATAGAAAAAATAGCATGTAAAATATTGATCAATTTAATTACATTTTTACACCCCTATATATGTACCTGTGTTATAAGAAACCGAAATCTACAAAAATAAAAAAGAAAGAAACGTTAGTACGTTTCTTTAAAATAAATTTCAAAAGAACCCGCCCCTATATATGTACCTGTGTTATAAAAAACTGAAATCTATAAAAAATAAAAAGAAAGAAATGTTAGTACGTTTCTTCAAAGTAAATTTCGAAAGAACCCACCCCTATACACGTACCCGTATTCTTAGAAACCGAAATCTATAAAAAAATAAAAAGAAAAAAACGTTAGACGTTTCTTCAAAGTAAATTTCGAAAGAATCCCGCATACACGTACTTGTGTCTTGTGTTCTAAACTGAAATCTACAAAAAAATAAAAAGAAAGAAATGTTAGTACGTTTCTTCAAAGTAAATTTCAAAAGAACCCGCCCCTCTACATGTACCCGTGTTCTTAGAAACTGAAATCTACAAAAAAATAAAAAGAAAGAAACGTTAGACGTTTCTTTAAAGTAAATTTTGAAAGAATCCCACATACACGTACTTGTGTCTTGTGTTCTAAACCAAAATCTACAAAAAAATAAAAAGAAAGAAACGTTAGTACGTTTTTTCAAAGTAAATTTAAAAAGAATCTGCCCCTATACACGTACCTGTGTTCTTAGAAACTGAAATCTATAAAAAAATAAAAAGAAAGAAACATTAGTACGTTTCTTCAAAGTAAATTTTAAAAGAGACCACCTACATATACTTACCCGCAGATTCCTGAAAGCCAAAACTTATTATTATTTATTAAATAAAAAAAACACAATCTAAAAAAAAAGACATTTTTAATGATTGGAATTGATAATCTAATCAAATCTATTCTGATCAATTATGTACATCGTAAATAATTACGGTAAACGTAAATTATTTATGGGTACATTTGATTAATTACGAAGTCATAAATAATTATATTAAATGTAATTATTTACGAAATACGTAATTATTTACGTATTTCAAATTACGAATTACATTTTTGGCCAATGATTTACCAGGCCATATATACTGAAAATCAGAGAAACTAAAATTCGTAAGTATTCTGAATCTTGGTTTTATTCTTTTTTTTAAAAAAAAAAATACTATAAATGATTACTAATAACTGTTCTTTTCTTTGATTTTTATAGGTTCAGGTGATTTCTGACAAATAGATGAACCAAGATTTATAAGGTACAAATACGAATCTTGGTTTTATTATTTATTTTTTATTATTATTTTAGAACGGTTTACTAACCGTTCTTTTTTTTTTTATAGGTTCAGGTGGACTTCTAAGTTTTGAATAATGGAAAAAAAACCCAAGATTTGTAATATAATTACGAATTTTTGAGTTTTTTTTAATTTGTTTTTTTTATCTTTTTTTTTATAGGTATCCAGTTCCTTCAGCGTTGGACTTTTAATTAGATTTCTCAACGTTAGACGTGATGTTGCTGTAGATTAGCATTTTGGAATGAATTGGTAAATTTCAAATAAAACATTTTTTTATTTTATTTTTTTTATTTTTTATATTTTTTTTAAAAAATTTCTCTTTTCTTTTGTAGGCTTCGGTCAGATTTTTGGAATAAGATTGTGTAATTTTCGTTAACAAAACTTAATTTTTGTGTTTTTTTATTTGAAACCTCATCTTGTTATGGTTGTGTTACTAGGGGCACTTTATCAACAGGAATTTAGTACGTTGATCACTTAAAAATTCGTGGAATTTACATTAGATAATATATTTGTATTGATTCTGTATTTTATCATAAATAAATTTACACATTTTATATAATATATATATTAATAATATACAATAAAATATATGTTTATAAATTAATACTACAATGTTAACTATTGTACAATGACTAAAAAATATATCAATATACGCATTTTTATACATTGTATATGCGTTTTAAACTATCGTTATTTTACTATATGTAACTTTACATTTTGTTTTACGTGTTTTTAAATATTTTTAAGTGGTGTTGATTAACAAAGGGTTCGTTTCCCTACATTTTTTGGTGTTGAGTAACACATAGCGTTTTTCAACACTTTATACGCCTGTTTAAAACTTGCTGATGTTCTTAATAACTGGTAAAATAATTAAGTTTTGCAAATAATTATAATTTCTAATTAATTCAGTTTTATTATTCTTATTAATACAGTCTTAAATTTTCAGTTTGATAATTTATTTGAATTTTATTGAATAAAAACCAAAACTAAACTAGTATATCAATAAGATACTTAGACACATCCCTCTTTAAAATTTTTTTTTAAAAAAAATATATATATATAAATATATTATTTCCAAAAATAAAAAAAAAGAAACCCTTTTTAAAACATACTATAAAAAATATAGTTAAAACTGCTTAAGATGCATTTCAAAGAAAGGTAGTTTATTTTATTATTAAAATAATTATATAAAAAAATATATACAAAGTAAAATTTTCTAATAACTACTCTAATATAATTAAACTACAAACCACTCGTCATACCGGTAGTACCCCACGTGTGCACTGTCGAGTGATCATTTGACTCCGTAGGTAGACTTCGTTTAGTAACAGGTCATCTTAGCCATAAAGGCCTTATCTTCAATGTCTGGTGATCACGGGACCCACTACGCTGCAACTTTATCATAATTTTTATTATTATTATTATTATTATTATTATTTTTATGTTGAATGGAAATTTTTCTAGACTTCCAGGGAGGCAATAAACCAGTTATTACCAAACGGTATAGATGATCTTTGCATCGACGCAAGCCTTCATTATATTTTGATGTCTTTTGTTCACGAAATGCAGTTAGAGTATATCGATAGGGATCGCATCGTAAAAATAAACTCAAAGAAATCATGCGTTGAGTTTCTACGTCCTCCTTATGTGTCCTTGAGGTCTTACACTTGTCCTGAGGTGTAATATGTAACGATTCTTCTAGTTCATTCATTATTTTACATCGCGGTTTCCAAACATGTTCTCTAAAAGCTTCATGAAAGTATTTAATGATCTTTAGAGACAGGCGTGAAGCAATTCTTTTTGATGTAAGTTTTCTAAGCTTCTTTACGATTGTGTGTGAAATCAATCCACGTAGTAATTCCTGTCTGTTCCTTTGTTTCAGTTCAGGGAAAGCTGGGTCTCTATATTCAAATATGCTGATATAGAGTTCATTGATCGTGACAGATTTTTTGCACTTGAAACGTTTGAGATATTTCCGAATCTTATCTATCGTTTCTTTTTCAGCAGTGAGGAATGCTTGTTCCAATCCAGCACATATTACTAAATGGTTCAAAGTCTCTTCATGATCACGGCAAGCTGGGCATGGTACATCATCATAAATGTCATTACGTTTTCTGAGATTGTCAACTGTAGGTAATAAGTTATTTGAAGACTTTATGAAATTAATTAGGATATTGTTAGTATCAAGATTATCACAACGGCTCTTGTTAATGTTATTAAGATAGCACCAGTGTGCGGTCCAATTCTATTCTATTGATATATCATGTGTTTGGTTATCGAAATAATCCTTCCAATTACTATTTAAAGACCATGTGACCTCTTCCAATGATTCCAAAACTATTCTACAAAATTGTCGAACATGTCTATTTATCTCTATACTATGCCAAACTGGCAGAAATAATAAAGGAAAACTATAACTGCATATAAATTGTAAGTCAACTAATCTATTAGAATTGATAACTGCCGTTTCTCTACCTATTTTTGCTATCGCGTCAGCCATATCGTTCCAATGGTAACCTGAATGACCTTTGACCTTATGTATTTCAATGTCCAATCTCTTAGACGTGATAATATCATAAATGGCAAAAAGAATGATATAATTATTAAGTTTAAGAAATTTGCGGCCATGTCTCGATACCATATTGTTATAATAAAGAAGTAATGTACAGTACCTGTAAGTAAATTATGCACTATATTCCATTATATTAGCAATTTAATATTTACTGATTAAATTGCAATAATAATAGAAGGATAAATTCCATTGAAATGATAAAACTAGTTTTTTTAGTTCTTAGTAAAAAGAGTTTTATTTATAAATTATAAAAGAAATTAAAAATCCTATCAGGAAATAAAGAAGTTTTTGGTAAAGTCATGCAGTTTTTCTAAAGAAAAATAATACAGTAAATCTCTTTAAATTATATAAAATTAAAATCTACTTTTATATGAAAATTATACATTGATTATATTAGCAATGATCTCGCTAAAAATTGAACAGATTTAAAAAATTTATAAAAAAGAAACATCTTTGATTTCTAAATTTTACAAAAAAAAAATTGTTTATCTTTATATGAAAATTATATATTAGCTGTATTTAAAGATGTGTCTGCAATACTCTAATTGCAAATTAATTGTGATTTGTGATATTGTGAAACATTGCGGATTTTAAAGAATAATTATTTGCAAATTCACAATCACAAATAATTTGCAAATCCACAAATAATCTGGAATATACACGCTGCCTTAACTAAAGTTTCATGTCAAAAATAAAGAGTTTTGATGTTAAAGTATATCAATACCAAAAAAGCTGAAATTGTTAAAAATTATGATTGACTGTAGATTGATCATCTTCACATAATCATTTTTTTTTGTAAAATATTCCCACTGAAGCAAAAAAAAAATTTCTTGCCAGAATACGGGAATATTATTTCCAAAATAATAACAATCACCGGACAAATCCACATTACACAAATTTACTAGTAAAAAAAATTTTGTACCACATAAAAGAGAAAACTTCGATCTTATTACAAGTTGGTAACAATACACATTAGTACAATAATTTAACGAATAATAATGATTCTCCGGATCATGTGCTATCTCACGTGATATTTTTTTTTATTATTTCATCATTTAAAAAAAAATGTATATATCGTGAAATCTTTGAATTTTTAAGTTATTTTTTTTAAGATCCTCCCAAATTCGAAACTTTACAAGCCTATTCTTTACATTATTAGATAAAGTAAAGTGTATTTTTTGTGAACTTAAGTTATAAAAAGCAGTTTATACAAGGACTTTTGTGTAAAGAAATTTTTAAATTTATATTAAATTCGATAGTCAATTTCGGTAAATTTTATTCATAAAATTGTTAATTTTTTTTTTTATTATTTAAGTAATAGCGTTTTATTCTTTGAATATCCCATGTAAAAGGTAAATTAGCTAAAATATTGTTAATTTCTTCTTCAGTTGGTATTGTTTCTTTAAGCAATAAGGGTTTTAATATTTCTTTTTCTTCATTTGTTGTAACTATTCTTTTACGTTTAGAAACAGGATTTTTATCACTTAATTGTTGAGGATTTTCATCAATTGGTATTGAACAGGATGAGCTTCCATTATTTCCCTCGGTTACTTTTCTTTTTTGTAATTTACTTATTGATCTTACATCTGTTTTAACTATTTCTAAATGGCGTCTTCCTTTTGTGTTTATTCGTTCAATTTTAATAACTTCCTGACAATAAACTTCCTTTATTCTTTTTAATCCTTCATTATAAGCATTACTTAACTTTTCCAATCCTTCTCGAGTTAATTGTGATGGTGGATTGTTTTTAAAAAGATCATGCTCTGTATAATTATTTATTTGAAATATTTCAACCAAATTTTCTACCAACTTCCACAGAAGGTCAATTCTGTTATCAACTTTACGATCTTTCCTATTATAATTATAAGGATCTAAATATTCATTTAGCAATACATCAATTCTTTCTTTTTCCTCTTGAGTCGCCCTAATTTGAAGATTTAGATTCTCCTGATTGATAACATTCCCAATTATATTTTGTTTAACATATCCAACTCCATACACCTCTAAAGCTTCATCAAACGCTAAGTAGTGACCTTTTCTTGTTAAGTTGACAGAAGCACAATATTGGAGTTTTTTTTCTAAATTGGGGTATTTCTTAAGAATTGATAAGAAATGAGCTACAGATGTTGTATAGTTATTTTTTCCAGCGGCTGGAAAAAGAGGAGCAAAAGCTGTCAGACTATCGCGTTGTAATTCATAATTGCTGGTTCGTATTCCAATGAGGTGACTTTTCCATATTGCAAAGTATTTATAATAAAAGTACCAAACTTTGATACAAATATTTTCATTTATTGGTTCAGTTGAAATATTTTCAATATCAATATTCTTTTTTTTTGCATAAATATGAATTGCTATCCCAACAGCAACCCATATTAATTCCAATACTCTTCTTGTTGATCTATAGTCAACAACAGCCTGAAGTTTATCTAAGAAGCGAACTCCAATTGCTGCAGCCAAGTTAAAGATCCCATAGCTTGAAAAAATAGTAAGTAATACACCGAGCATTTCCTTAGACGTGTGCCATTGACCAAGTATAGGTCTTATTTTCTCCCACCTAGTACGAGATTTTATTAGCCTCCTAAAAATAGCTTCATCCGCACAAATATCTAGATATTCGTCATCGTTTAATGAAAATTCTTCTTTATACATTTGTGTGGCACGAAAAATTTCATTATCATCATTTGGAGAACCAGCAGGGGCTAAAATAACTACATTAGGGGGTGGAATTAAACAACCAAATTCACATCAGGTAAGAATTTCCTTTTCAATTATATCAACGTCTAAATTTTTATTATAACTTACATCTTCGTTCATGTTTTCCTGGAAATCTAGTAATTTCTCAAAAACATTATCAATTTTGATTTGCATTATATACATTCCTTGCGTCATCCCAAAAAGATGAGAATCAACATTTAATTCTTTAATTGGTTCAGGCGTTTCATTAATAATTATAGGTAATGTTGATTGAAATACCATTCTCAAGGTAGCATGAGAAGTTCCGCGTGTCACATCATAAATATTACTGAATCCAAAACTAGTTTCTTTAAAGTCAATATTATCGATCACCGCTAAATTATACACATTATTTCCATTTCTTAATCTTTTTGCAGGATCAACATTCTGCATTCTTGTTTTTTCTAATCGCCGTTCATGTCGATTAGTGTATCCAATAACAGAACATTTTGTTAATAATGCATGAAGAGAGGAAATTAATTTTGGTCTTCTGCATAAAGATGACAATATAACAGGAAGCCAGAGATCGAAATAAGGAAAAGCATATCCTATTGATACTGAAAGCAAAAAGGAAATGATTTTATTCATTTCTTGGGGATTGGATTGTTTTAAAGGTTTGTTTTGCAATTTATTTTTTCGATTTGATCTGATTATTTTTTTTGATTCTAATTGTAAAAACATTTTTTCAAAGAAAACCTTTAGGAATTTAGGAAATGCGTCAACATATTCAGTAATACTAGTTGGAAATTGAAGGTTGATTTGATTATCTTTCAACTGTTTATATGATTGCCATAATTTATTTCCAGCTATCTTCCCGATTTTCTCAAAATCTTTTTCTTCTAATTCTTTTTCATCAGGATAAATTGAAATTTTATTTAAGCGTGTTAACGTTTGAACCATAAAAAAAGTAGGAAGTTTCAATAATATTGGAATTGATAAATTAGATGTAACATTTGGTTCGTTTGATTGATTTGTTTGAATTTCTGTATTTACTTCATATAAATAATTTTCATTTAAAAATTGAAAATAAGAAGGTAGAAAGATTCTGAGTACTTTTTTTTGATATTCTTCATTTTTATTATCTTTAACATAAAAAAGCCAACGCGCAATTATATCTAAATTTTTTTTAATATCAAGATTATGATACTTTTGTTCAATACAAGTTGTTGATAATTTTCCTTTACCGGGTTTTATGTGAAAATGACCACCTTCTAATTCATAGCATTCTGAACAAATATAGCGTGAACTTTTAATATCTTTGGAAATAGGTTTACAGATTGGATTACATTCTTCAAGAGCAGGACATTTATGTTGTCCATTGCACACAACTTGTATATTTTTTCCTAATAAATTCCATGTTAAATGTTTTGTACACCCATTTCCTCGACTAAAAAAATGAAAAAGTTTCCCACAAAAAAGACACCTGCGCCTGTGTATAATACTATCAGCTATGGATATTTTTTTTTTAGTTTTTGAATCATGTAATTTTTGGTCATGATTAAAATGATAACTGCAAACTCCTAGATTTTCTAAAGATTCATTTGCTTTTAAAACTTCGTTACTATCTATTTGCCATATCCCAACAAGTTGCCATAGTGTCCGAAAACTTTCTATATTTTTACATCTTTGAATTTTGCCATCTATTTTGTCAATTAACACACATGGTGTTAAATTTTTTGGCTTGTTTTGCTCAACTTTAATATCACTCTCATTATCATTATTAAAACTTTCTTCGTATTCACTTTCAAAATCATCGTACTCACTATCAGACTCAGAATTTTCATCATATACCATATCAGCTTTGTTTAATTCAAAGGTTCTTGGTTCAAAGATAGGTTCGTCCATACTCTCTTCATTAATATTAACCCAATTTTCGGCCAATATTTGCGTTTCTGGAGTGTTCGTATATACTTCTGTAATATTATTTGACATTATTTTAAGAGTTTATAATTGGTAATTACTAAGTGATTTGTCAACTTTAACTTTAAGATCCTCCCGAACGAAAAAAAATTTTCCTTCACAGCCTTAAGAAAAAACATCAGAAATAAACACAAGATTGTGATAATTTGTTTAATTTAGGCAGTTTTGTTTCACAAAACTTGGTTATACTCATTTTAATAGTAAATTTCATAGTAAATTTTATTAGTGTATGATGTCGATCATTACTAAAAAAAAATTTGATCTACATGAAATTGGATTTGTCCGGTGATTGATAATAATATATCAGATTAGACTATTTTTATTTGTACACTACATGTGTAAATACGGGTCATGTGATTATTGTCGTTTTCTGGTGATCTGCATAAAAAATTTCCTATTTTGGAAATTTGTGTAATGCATTTTTATTTTTACTGAGAAACAAAATTGCCTTTTTTGAGTTGTATAACGTTACTCTGATTTCCAAAATTGGAAATTACAGTAATTTTTGGCTGGAATTATAAATTTGGCCGAAATTATTGGGCGTGACATATAATATGTAACAAATAAGGTTTTTCCTACCGAAAAAATTCTAAGTCCCTAGAATAAATAGTAAAAATGGAAAACTATAGGGGTGTGACATAGGTGACAAATTATAGTCACGTGATACGTGTTTTGCACACTAGTGTATATTAAGAAATTATCATTAGATTATTCAGCCATAATCAATACATTATTTTAACAATTATATATATCATTGTATCAAACTCATTCTATCAAATGTATTACAATATACAATTACGTATTAAAACAATTGCGTTTATCAAATGTTATTATTTGTCAATTAAATAAATATCAGTTTTTACAGTTTTTAGGATCCCAATTCCTTTCTTCCTTCTTCATTTTAAAAATAAAAAATAAAGTATCAGCTTTTAAAATATTGAATAAATATATTAGAAATGTCAAAAACACTCTGTTCAGTTCTCAATTCAAAAATTTGTGAGAAAAAAGTTTATTTATCTGATGACAATGAAAGCTTAATTTCAACAGCACTTTTTCTTGTTTGGACAAAGACAGATAAAAATATTGATCTGTGTACTTTCGAGCAAGATAGAGTAAGAATGTCATATAAAAAAAATGAAGGTCATATATATTTTGATCTGGAGGAATCATTGTCAAATTTTACATTTATCGATAAGGTATATGATAATTTTATTTCCTTCCCCTTTATTTTTTTTCTATTCATTTTTCGGTTTTGGACAACTTTGTCCACTTTTTTTTTATTTTTGCCGCTTTTTTTCGTCTCTAAACAATTTTATCCACCTTTTTTTTTTCGTCTTTTTTTTTTGTTCCTGAACAACTGTAATTTTTTTTTTATTTTTTTTTTATTTTTTCAGGATAATCTGGCTGAACTTCAGCATTACAAGTCTCTATATGAATCATATAAAAGTAAATACGAATTAGTTTTGAATCATAATGTTAAATTAAAGGTAAAATATAAAAATGATATTAATTTTTAATTTATAAAATTTATATTTTGTTAATTTTTAATAATAAAACAAATTGCAAAAGTACTCTACTCCAGTAATGGCAGAAAATACGCGTTCAAGTAACACAGCTGGTACAGCTGATACTGATTCTAATGTTGATGAATCCTTAAAACAATTGTTAAATTATTCAACACCCGAACATTCTCCCTTTGAATCTTCAACATCAACTCCTCATTCATCATTATATCACGAGTCTAATAACTTAGAACTTGCCCACATTATAAACTGTGATTTGGCAATAAACAATTTCCCAACTTTTGATACAGCAGAAAATATTTGGGCAAATTTAAATCTGCGATGTATTGAAAAATTTGGTAATCAAAATCACATAAAAAATAATATTACTATTTCAGATATAACGTGGACCAGCATGACATTGCCAGCTTATTGCAGCTGGAATACGATGAAAGATTATTATTATTATATCGATAGCTGGATGATAAAAATTAATAATTTCTGTAAGTCATATTTGTATTATTCTTGATTACAAAACTTTATAATAATTTACATTTTAATTTTATAGGTAATAATAATTCTCAGACTGCTGATATTGCAAATTCAGACTCTATAATAGAAGAATCAAACTACCATAAAAGTACTGAATTGAATTCACCTCTATAAGCGCCACAAGTAACTAATGAAAGTGCCAAATTGAATTTACTTTCGCAATCACTACCGGTAGCTAATGAAAGTGCCGAATCAAATTCACCTCTACAAGCATCACCTGTAGCTAATAAAAGTGATGAACTGAATGCGCCACTGGTAGCTAATGAAAATAATGAATTGAATTCACCTTCACAAGTGTTACTGATAGCTAATAAAAGCGCCGATAATAAAAGTACTAAATTGAATTTATCTATACAAGCTCCACCGGTAGCAGTACCGGAAAAAGTATCAGTAGAAGTACCGTCAACAAAGGCACCAACACTGAAATTAGCAGAAAAAGTATCCAGTGCAGAAGTGTTTGTAGTAGTAGAAACACAAACTTCAAAAATGAAAATGCAGGTAGAATCACAAGCATTAGTTTCAGAAGTGTCAGAAGAATCTCAAGAATTAGCATCTACATCAACATCATTAGTATGAAAACGTAAACTTAACTGGATGTTGATAAAAGTGACCATGATGATAAAACTATTATGAAAGAAAAGTTGAATTCTGCCTAAATGCTTTTGTTTAAGAAGGGAAAGAAACTACGTGATATTTTGTTAGCATCAAATGATGAGCATCTTGTTACCTCAGAACTATCAAAAACTTCTGCGATATTCAACACCTTGACTGAATTGTCAATGGCTGAAAAAATTACAGTTTTCGATGAAAAGTCTGCTATGGACAGAATTAATCAATAGAAAAAACAGGAGTTATGTTGTGAAAGCCTTGTGATAGCGGCGGAGTCTTTCAATTTGCTACATTTAGCATCATTAGTTCAAATTTATGATGATCTTTCAATACTTGCTGAAAGATTAGAAATTAAAAATACAAAATCCTGGGTGATCCCTTTTATGTGAAGTAAGCTTAATATCGATCAAAAAGCTGAACAGAAAAATAGGTTGGGGTGTGACAGATTGCGCAAATTATTTAATGATGGAATAACACCTACGCAGCTTGCGCAAGCAAGTTGTCACAAGTGTGATTTTTTTGTAAAGCAAAAATATTATGATATATTTTTGTCTCAAATTCCCGCTTATCAATCAATTACTTCAAGCCAACTAGATGAACGTATTTCTGAAATTATGTCGAATTAAGATTTCACCATGCCAGAAAGAAAAAGTGATGTTGTATTTAAATTGAGTTTAAGCAAAGAATTCAGAGATTTAAGGGAGAAGTTTAAAGGAAGTGAGTATATTGAATGGGCATAATACAGCTTATTATTTTTATTAGTTATAATACAGATTATTATTTTTATTATTTAGATTAAATTGCAGAATGTAAAATTAGGTATACGCAGTAGATTATGAAATGCAAATTGCAAAATTTTTATTACAATTAAAAAGTTTTATTTTGAGATTTATAATTCTTTTTTAATATTATGTAAAGTGAACAAAATTGTCTAAAAGATATATTACGTAAGTTGGGATAAATAATTGTACGCAGCATATAAGATATAACAAATGATTTAATTCTAAAAAATAAAAAGATATATTATGCGAGTTGGAATAAATAAGTGGACAAAATTGTCCAAAAAGGTATATTATGAAATAAGTGGACAAAATTGTCCAAAAAGATATATTATGAAATAAGTGGACAAAATTGTCTAAAAAGATATATTACGAAATACTAAGTGGACAAAATTGTCTAAAAAGATATATTATGAAATAAGTGGACAAAATTGTTCAAAAAGATATATTACGAAATAAGTGGACAAAATTGTCCAAAAGATATATTACAAAATAAGTGGACAAAATTGTCCAAAAAGATATATTACGAAATAAGTAGACAAAATTGTCCAAAAAGATATATTACGAAATAAGTGGACAAAATTGTCCAAAAGATATATTACGAAATAAGTGGACAAAATTGTCTAAAAAGATAGATCGACTTTATAATATTTAGTATAAAACATACGTATTTTCAAAGTTCAAACTTTATCTATTTTTTTTTTTGAAAATACTTTAACTTACTTTTTCTGGTTAACTGAAATTCATTAATATTCTCAAAATATAACTATGTAAGTACGTGACTCAACATCCCTGAATACTCCTGAATTTAAAACTGAATTGTTGTTGATGAAATATTTCACGTTTATTTTCATCATTTCATTTTTCGTTAGTCATTTATTTTAATATTTTAGGTTCCTAATTTTTCTTTGATAAAATGACAAGTTCAGAACCTTCAGAAAATCCAAAAAAAGGACATCATTTTACGGAAGTGTAGAATGGACATATGATAAAAGAAGTACAGAGGACAAGAGGACACTACGCTGCGACATGTAGCTATTGTAACTTTTATTGGAAGGATGGAAAACTTCACGTTTTACGTGAGCACTTAGCAAATCATTGCCGAAAATGTCTGCAAGAAGTGTTATTACAGTTCGCAAAAATTGTAGGTAATGAAATAGCAGAGAACGAAGAAGATGATGAAAGCGACTCAGAATTAACAACTAAAAAACAAAGGCTCAATGATGGCTAAACATCCATCCGATCTTTTTACAAGAATAAAAAGTTAGAAAAAGGATATAGTGATGAAATACATCGTTCAATAACGAAAGCATTCGTAATGTGCAATATTCCTTTTAGTATAATTGAAAATCCTTGGTTTATTGATTTGATCAAAACTTTACAACCAGGATATGATCCTCCCTCAAGGCAAGTTTTGAGTGGTACTTTATTAGAATCTGAAACATTTCACGTAAATATACGTATTATGAATGAATTAAGTGCTGACTATTGGTAAGATTTTTAATTTAAATTAAAATGAAGAAATTTTTGTAAAATATTGACAGTTTTGATATGTATTTATATTCATTAACGATAGATTGTTGAACTGATCCACACGGGAATAGCCTTTGGGCATTCATGTTAATGACTAGGTCAAGGAAAGAATATCTTTTGAGTCTTGAGGATTTTTCAAATATTCGCCATACAGGAGAGCATTTATCTAACGTTATTGAGAAAGTTATCAATAAAGTGGAAGCTAAAAAGTTTGTTGCTATTGTGTCAGATAATGGCTTGAATGTTGCAGCAGCACGTAAGATAATTGCCAACAATTACCCAAATATCATTAATGTGCGATATATCACGCATTGCGTAAATCTGATAAGCACGTCTATTGTAAAAATAAATAAAGTTAAATATATAGTGAAATGTGCAAACATTCTCACAAAATATTTTAAAAATTCTACCCTTGGATCATCATGGCTCAATGAAGTAATTAAAAGTAAAAATATTGAAGGCAGAGAGCTGAAGACTTACATAGAAACAAGATGAATGACTGTCTATGAATGTGAACATTCTGTGTGGAGATTAAAAGATGCTTTACAGCACATATGTTAATAAGATGAATTATTTTTTTTTTTAAAAAAAAAAAATTTAATTTTATTTAAATTAGGTTCTGGAAAATCATGAACACGAAATTTCAAATCAAGCTATTAAAACTATTTTGAAAAAACGAGGATTTTTTGATGATGTTCGCGTAATATCAGATATTTTTAAACTGATAAAAAAGGCAATTCTTATGCTTGAAAGAACGTATACTACATTAGGACCCCGAACAATATATATATAGATCAGATAAAAAATTCAAAATTTACTAAGGTCAATAAGCAAATATTTTTCATGTCTGCTAAGCAAACTTTTATCTAACCCATAAATTTTTTACACTGCTAAGC